AAAGTTGGGGCAGAGATATTGTAAAACTGACCTTTAAAACGAGCATAGGCCATGTGGTCACTTCTCGGTATCCACTCAATCATATATCTGCACGATATTTAGAAGGAGTATGGACAGTGATCGCTTCTTTTTAATGTTCATAAGCGTTCCGCTCCAAGAAGCTGACTCTAACATTTAGCAGCATGCGCAAAGTCATTTCTCTTAATAGGCTATGAAACATTTCCTCTGGCTCACGAGCATATCTTCCGACGTGCTGAAGGGCACCGTATCAAGAAGACTTGACTCTTTCACCAGAATCACTTAGAGATATAGTTGCAGGTTTTTCCACAGCAACCACGTGGATTTTAGTTATCGTGGCAGGTTTATTCATATCAAATACAAGGATAAAAAAAATTAAGATGGAAAATAAACTAGAAAATAGAAAAAAACAAACTCCGATCCGATTTTATCGCGTGCAATTGTTAAAGGTGCTCGCATTATTTTGAATGTAATATTTTTTATTTGTTATAATTTTTAATTTTAATTTATATTTGCTATAATTTCCAGAAAAATGCAAAGAATAAACAATCGAAAATTTTCATGACGGCAAAATTACAAACTGAAATAATTTTTTTTTCTCAGGTATTTTTTTAATTTATCACGAATTGTATAAAATATTGGAAAATTCATGAAAGAAAAAGAAATCCTATTTTCTAAGCCGATTTTTTTTCGATCAACGCCGCAAAAAAATTTTTATTTTTTTATTTTAGACGTGTTTTAGCGAGCTTATTTACGTAATAATCTTTATAATCAGTTGGAAAGCGCTTTTTAATGAAACGAAATGGGGATTATTCATATCACTTAGAATTGTATGGATCCTTTGTCTTGGAATCGATGGGTATTTTTTTTTCGATACCTCTTTTCTGAAAAATTTGCAAAATGGATATCGCTAAGAATACTTTCGAGAGATTTTATTACTATAAGATTTTATAAGATTTTTTCCTAAAAATATCAAACATTTCTGTTAAAATTCACTCTATCAGCTCGCCATAATCGTTAAATTTTGCCCGAGCGTTATTTAGGCAAATTTGGCGAGGTATTAATGGGACACCGGCAACACTTGAATTTTTTAAAGCAATTTTAATTTTTGCTGAGAGTGGAATTCCAGCACTCGTATTTCGGCAAAGAAAGCTTTACTCCAGTGAATTATTCTCCCATTAGCTGACTTTCGAAAATAATTTCAACGTCTATTGTTTCAATTGCTTAAATCGCAAAGGAGATTTTTTCCAGTTTTTCTGGATTATTTAATTTATTTGACAGTCATAGCCGTGAATCAAGTGTACGAACATTTTTTAAAATATACTTTTATCCAAAAAATCTCATTTCTTTCGAGAAAAATGCCAGAATAAGCGAATAATTCATTCGTTTAACGATGTGTTTCAGATTGATAATTGGAGGTATACAGTTTAGAGCAAAGCTGCGGTCCAAGAAAATAGTTTCAGCGAATTTGCTAAAACTGAGAGTGCGAAGAATCAATTGATGCATTTATGTTGATATTAATAAAGTTAAAAACTTTTTTCCAGCTTATTATACAAGCTTATTATAAGAAAAAACCCATAAAAGAAATCACAAATATATTTTAATTTATTTAATTTATTAATTTATTATGCGGAATTTTTTTTTTAAAAAATCCTCACCATTACTGGTTAAAATCGCTCCACATTGGACAATATGCTAGGAAGTCCTTTGGTGATAGAAATGCAGATGAATCACCAGAATCATCCGGATTTTTGTGCAAGGAATTTACTACGTCGAGAACTTCAGCAACGGAATGCACAAATAAGTATAGGAAAGAGCGATTTCAGCATGTTCAACTGTTTATTTATTTCATTATTGAAGCAAGAAGCCATATTTATGTTGATATTGTGTTTATATTTGTTATTGTGGTTGAACTAATGGATTTTTATATTCATATTTATATTCATATATAAATATAAATATTTATAATTTATTTATATTTATATATTTATTCTATATTACTTAGATTATCATATTTATTTTATATAATAATTTTATAATTAAGTATATAATTTATAAGTGCACTGTTTTATTATATTTTATTAAGCTAATATATAATTCATATCAAATATAAATTACTACACAAAGAATTACTAAACGCTTCACCGAGGGATAGAAATCGCTATTGGTGCGATATGGCCTTCAGAATGGATGCGATGGCTCGATTAGATGATAATAGGAACTATTCTTCAGAAAACAATTGTAATCCGGGAAATGATCAGTGAAATAGTACGGAATAATAATGGTAGTGCTTGTTGAGACTATTGTTGGGGATATAATTTCATAAATTGAAAAAAAATCTTAGAATTCTCAATTCTCACTTCAGAATTCTCAAACTTAGTCACGATGCGCCATCTATCAGACATAGCTGATTCGTTCATCGAACCATATGTTTGCAAATCGATAACAGAATAGGAAATAATCTCGATCATCCAGAAACTTAAGGCTAATAAAAATGCCGGAAAAGGTAGTCTCCAGATTGAATTGTCCAAATACATTATCGTCCTTTATATATCGCACTTTCAACAAATGCATTACCTGGTATGGAAGAAAAAAATAATAGACTGATGACTGTAGCAAAGAAATTCTGCTCACAAGAAAGGTTACAGACTATGACAATAAATGAGGAATCCTATGAAACATCTCCAAGAAAATGCTTGCTTTCCTTTTACTGAATAAATTTGTGGCATTACGAGACATCAAATTGTTCACGTAAGGATCACCTCTAACCAAGCTGGACTTAGATTTTGTAAGTGTACTGAACAGATATTAACGTTAAAAAGTTATTGTTAATTGCAGAAAAGACCACTCGCTTTATAAAGCCATTTTATCAGCGTACATCGGTGCAGGACGGCTTTCTCCCAAATAAGAATTGGTGTTCGCCAATGCTAAGTTCTTTCCTCCACAGTATTGAACTATGCGAGAGACTGGATAATGAACACCGTCTGTCGGCAATCAAAAGGTGTAAAAAGTGTAAAGGTGAGTACAGAGCATAATATCACAGATTTTAAATACGCTGATGATGTAGTCCTTTTTGCTGACAGTTATGATAATAGTAATATGCAAATGCAAATAACGTGTCAACAACTGCAGCGAGATTCAAATTCAATTGGTTAATGTAAATCAAATGAAAGCTTTTTCGTCTTATGCGCAAGAAACTAATAAAATGTCTCTTCTTATAAATTCATTGCCTGATTTTAAATACCTTGGATCCACTCTAATATCGAATGGCCAGGCGGAAGGCGATATTACGATAACCCGGATTATGGCAAAATATTTTTTCGGTTGATATATAGCCGTGATTCGTTCGATCTTGCTATATGTTTCTGAGACATGGCCAATGAGAATGGAGAATATTAAGAATCTGCATTAAATCACTCTTGTCTAAGGTACTGGTCCATCGAGCGGATAAAATATCACACGACCGCACACACCTTCGTTCAAATACCACTTAAATAAGTAATCACAGATCGTAGCTTTCGCTGGTTAGAACACTCCGTCGTACTACCATAGCAGCTGATGTATATTTCGTTATTTGCTAAACTCTGTGACGGGGGGTGGCGTCAAAAGTGAGATAGTCCAATCAAGACTTGAATTGATATGGTCGAAAACGATTTTTAACGTATAGGTGAACTAGCAATATATGGATTTTGACAGTGGAAAAAGGAATGATTTCTATTACTGTCGACGATGGCATCAGACCGCGCCGTTTGGAAGCGTCTTATCCTTGTAGGGAGCCTAACCAATAATGATGAATAATGGTGAGTTAGAAGAAAATTTTGCACTCGACAAGATTCTAGCTTCGAAAAATAAAAAAAATTTATAAATTTTGTTCAATGCAAATCTAAAATTTGTAATTCAGTTGATAAATAGTAGAATGAATCAATGCTTCATCTTCATTTGCGCTCCAATTCTTGCGGTGAGGAAGAAAGAAGGAATTGCATTATTGCCCAAACTTATAAAAGCATAAAAAGTTCCTTAACTCTGCAATAAGCCTCCCATTTAAAAAATTGGATGATGCTTCCAACCCACTTCCATCTCTATCTCTTCGCCAAGAAGCCTCTTAGCTTAAACCTTTAAGCCCCTAAACTTTTAACACCATTAAAAACTAGCGCAGCAAATCTAATGGAAATGATGAAGATAAGTGCCAGTTGTTCAAAAAAAAGAATGGTAAAGAGGAATTTTTGCTTCAATTTGCATTGAGCATTTTACCCGCTTCGACACAAATAAACTTATCATTAAAAATTTAAGGAAAAATATTAAAATTCATAATGAAAATGAAAGAAATTTTTTCAACTAAATGAATTATTTTTAAAATTGCTTTAAAATAATTTATAAAAAATAAAACAACTTATTCAATGAATTATAATTGCCATTAAAAAATTTGATTTCAATTATGAATACTCATAATTATTAATTATTTAATAATTAATTAAATTGATTATTAATTATTAAAGTAATCAATTAATTAAATCATAAAATTAGCGTTTATCTTTAAAGAATTAAAAATAAACTTAATTTTTCCGATTTTTTAATTTATATTTTACATTTAAATAATCGCTAATTTTCACAAATATAATCCATCTATTTATGAAATCAAATAAATTATATCAATGAAATATAAAAAATTCAGCGGAATATTCTTTCTTTCTTTTTCCTGGCCATTTAACGTGGTCCCTTCACAAAAAAAAATATTAAAAAGCGAGGTAAGGCTGAGAGCCGAAATGAGAGAAATATTCGATAAAATGAAAACAACGTATAAAATATAATTAATTAATATAACCAATTTTATAAGAAAAGGAAAGTTTTAAATCGTTTAAAATGATTTACCAATATTAGACATTTCCTTTTCCTGGGAAGGAAAATACTTATTGAGGTAAATTAAATTACATTGATGAACAAAAGAAAACTTCACAAAAGAAGCAAACAAATAAGCAAAAAAACTATGTATTTTCGATGAAATTGCCAAATTTATATAAAGCTTTAGAAAAAACTTGTTGAATCAAAAGACGTTCATTTAAACGATAATGATATTTCGAAAGTAATGCCATAGCATATGAATAAAGGCAGGTTGATTCGAATAAAAATCGATTCGTTTCATATAACCTGAAAAAAATCGAATAAAAAATATAATTAATAAAAAAAAATGAAAGCTGAGGGAACGAAAGTCTTAATTAAAAATTAACAAAAAATAAATATGAGAAAAACAAGCAAAATTTCCACGGATTTTTTTTCTGAAAAACGGATTATTTTTGGTTCAATTTCGAACTGATTTTTTTTTTGAAACATCTTTTGCGAATTAGAAATATGAGAAAATATAATAATAATATTAATAATAATATTTTGAGCCTTAGGAGTTTCGTTTCAAAATCCAGAGAATTCTTCGGAATTATACGCAGTTTTTTTAACAACGATATAACAGCATCAGCACCAGTGAATTCCTCATTGCTGTCACATGAAAAACTTCGATCTACTAAAAAAAAACAATAAAAATGAATTTGACGCAGAAAAATAAGAATGCGTTTAAGAATTTTATTAATTTCAAATTGAAAAACTAAAAAATGATAAGCATCTTTCTTTAACGATTTACCTTGAGGCCAATTACAACTAATGCATGTTTCTACTGCACAATGCGAATCTTCTCTTTTTATAAAGAAAAAATCAGGTAAATAATCAACTTCTGCCACATCAGTTTTAAAAATTCCCTATAAAAATAAAATAATAATATACATATTAATATATAATTATATAACATTTAGATGATCAATGATATAAAAATAATATATAAATATTATATGAATAACAAATAAAATTAAATAGCAAATACGAACCAAACAAAGCAAATCAGGTCGACAAGGAAAAGAAACGAATGGAAAATATGCCATACTGCTTGGTACAATAACTTTTGAAACCGCGCAGTGTTCCTCGCTACCGAATTTATAATATGGCGATCGCTGAAAATAAAAATAAAACCATAACCATAACATAGCATTAAAATTTTGGAAAATAAAAGAATGAAGATGATCCGTAACTATGAAATTCCACTATAATTAATTGAAAAACCACGTACTTAGTGATTCTTTGGCGAAAGTTTTCAGCCAAAAGAATTAGCCAAAACTATAAAATATAATCAAAGTAATAAAAATTTTTTCAAAAATAGAAATAAATTAAAAACAAACCATCACATTTCGTGACATAAATGGATAAATTATCATTTCGCCCAATGGTCGATCAACGCATTCAAATTTATCAAAAGTAAATGGAAATAACTTATAATAACGCCGTAAATTCGATGAAAAATGAATTTCGCATTCCTAAATTTTTTTAACTATAAAACTGAAAAAATATTTTACAGTTAATAATGGAAATAATGGAAATTCTATTAAATAGTGAAAATTCGCCAACAAAAATAAAAATATTTTATAAGTAATTATTATTAATATTATTATATTTGAATATTAATTATAAAATAATAATATAATAATAATATAACAATAATAATAAAAATAACAAAAAATAATAATTTAAAAAACCGATTGGATGAGACACTGAAAGCACCCCTTCGCGAGAAAATTACTCAAAGTTAAGGTAAAGTTGCCTCTTCTCAAAGTCATTCTCAATTTTAATGATAGATTTATGGGATTAATATGCTGGCTTATCCTCAGTCGTAAATCATCTACAGTTATGCATATTATTTTTCCAAAAAATACAAAATATAGAAAATTTAAAAAAGAATTATTCTATTAAAAGAAATCATTAAAATGTAATAAATATTAAATAATATTGTGACTCGAAAACAACCATTAAAGACTCGTTTTTGAAAGAATGCATATTATAATAATTCCCTTGAGAGGAAATTGTATGTTTATTGCTCGTACTCGTATAAGCACGAGGCACATTAGGCATAATATTTATCTTTGCTATTTTTCGCCAATAATTAATACTGTCTGGTTCTGAAATTGCTATTACGAACCAATTTATACGATATTTATGAAATATTTCAATATTTTAAATATTTTCGAATTAAAAAATCGCGAAAAATTTTTCGAATAAGATACCAGTTTCTAAATTAACTACTGGAGCCAATCCGCTTGAAACAATCGAATCAAATGAGAATGGATTAAAAAATTGAGTTTCTGCCATTGTGAGCAATGGAATACTTGATTCATTCTCAGAACACTCCTGTAAATCTGTAATTTTTTAGCTTTTAAATAATTTTTAACGTTAATTATGATGTAAAAAACATAATAGTACAAAATAGTAATAAAAAAATCTGAAATAAGAAAGTACCTCTTTATCTGCAGAATTACGAATATTATTATCTATGCATCGAATCCATAATTTATTATTTTCAACCGATTTTGACAAATAGGAGTCTTTTAAATAATCGTTACCTTCCATAAAACGATTACTTTCCCAGCCCAATTGTATAAGCAAATTAGCACCTTTAAATAAATTTGTCTTGAAATGAATCAGGTTAAAATTCTCTTCATAAAAGTAGTAACAATCTTAAACATACCAAATTTACAACCACCAATAAGATTCAGTGCCCAGAAAGCGATTCCACGCACAGATAGCACAGAGCAAAACTCACTAAACCTACATATTATTGGAACCAATTCAACAGGTAACATTGTGTGGGCCTCTAAAATCGACAAATTATTATCAAAAATTTTATCATTGTTTTTAAAAATATTATATTAGAAAATTTTATCAAATTTATCGAACAAAGAAAATTTCGCTGACTTCAAATCACAGAAATAAGTGCATTTTGCTTATGCTTATATCAAAAAGATGACAAAATTTCTTTTCCCTTCTTCTTCTGATAAGAATAAAAATGAGACCCGGGACCCGATTGACTCAGCGAACATAATTCTACTTCGAATGATTTTCTAGTAAAATCAGATTAACCTGCAGGTGACGCAAATACGACATGAGCTAAGGCAAAAATAGCTGCCTTTACAAGAACTATTGAGTTGGGATCACCACAAATATCAGTTTGGCGCAAAACATCTAACAGACGATTGATTTCATCTAATTCCAGTAGTAATTCAAAACCTTTCATATGACTAGCCATTTGCCCATATAAATGAATGGGAAGCCTGCATGCGTGAACGTCCACTCTGAATAATTCTTTTATATTTCAAAAACTGAAAAAAAAATTCAACGTAAAAAAATAAATTCAGTTTTCTATCTATGATAAAGGTTCATAACATAACTTTATTTATTTTCAAGAATCCTTACTATTCATATTTTGACTTTTCAAGATCCAAAACTCCCAAAATGGCCCTCCGGTGAAACGGTCCTAACATGATGATCAAACCAGAAATGATGGTGTGCTTAAAAGAAAAAGACTTAAAGTTTAGGAGAAAAATCGTTAAAATAACCGATAATTAATTATTATTATATATTATACCGATATTATATATATACCGATAATTAATTATTATTATAATTATTTTATATTACTATTATGAAAAAATAAAATTTCAAAAAGTGGAAAAAATAGAATTTTAAATGATGAAATATAAAATAATAATTTTTACCTATCTTTAGAAATATTTTCCAATTTCCCATCGATTGGTGATCGCTCAATATTCAACAGCGATACTCTTACGATTTCATCAATTGTTTTTACATAAACCATATTAAACACCTTGAAATTTGATTAAATGAGAATAAAATTAACGAAAAAATTAGGTTATTTTTTGTTAATTTTTATGAAATTAAGATTTTAATTTAAAAAATATAAAGTATAATAAATAAAAATATAAAATAAAAATAGAATATAATAAATATAGAATATAAAAAATATATATTGTAATAATGCAATAATCGACATCATCTTTGCGGATATTCTCAATGAATATTTCACTAAAATCAACTATCAACGCATAATAGTAGGGGAAGAAGGATAGCAGAGTGGATATTAATTAATGACAATGATAATAAATGATAATGATATTTATCATTTTGAGAAAAAAGGCTTAAGAAAAAAAAAAGGCAAAATAATAACTAAAAAAAAAAAAAGAATTTTCATTACATCTCTCCATAATTCGATTTCTTGTTTTGACTCTTTTGGATTATTTAATACATAATTTTCATCGCTAAATAAATGAGTTTTTAAAAAAATTCCTAAATCACCGAAAATATCCAAACGAATATAATTAACGATCATCGAACGAGAATCTCGATAAAACTGAAATAATTTCGAGAAAATTTATTTTATGTAAAAAAAAAAAATTAAAGTTTTTCGATTTTCTATAAAAATAAGATTTCTCGTTTCTCCAAAAACTAGTGAAAACATCCTTATTCTATTCGGCGTTGTCGGAATAAATATATCAAAACCAAAGCCAAAACGAAATGGAAATGATGTTTATTGTTAGAAAAAAAATAATCATTAGGTCAATAACAAATTCCAAATTTGATAAATTTGATTAAAAGATAATAAAAAAAATACAAAAGATAAGATATGATAAGACTTACAGGTATCCAACGATGAAGAAGTTGACAAGTAAGCTGTATTATTTCATGTGAAGGATCAGCAAGTTGTCCAAATAATAAAGGCATTCCCCAATTCGAAAAACCTGGTAAATCCTGAGCAGCAAGCACTCCAAGAAAATTTGTTACCCATTTTCGGGACTCCTCAAATCATTCAGATCGATATGAAAAGCTATTTTAAGAGAGATATTTTCTAAATAAAAAAAAAGAGAAAATTTTATTTACTTCATTTGTATTAGTTAGTGCTTGCTGGAGAATAATTCTTGTAAGGCCATCATCATATGAATAATTTAAGCAAGACACAATTAATTTGATGTAAAAATTGGAATTATGGGGAATGGTTAATAAATCAATGAATCTGAAAAATTGAAAAAAAATCACAGAAAAAATAAAAATAAGCATAAAAAAATATGCATAAAAAATATTTCTGCACAATTTCATTAATTTATATATATATATTTAACAAATTTCGATTCGATTATTGCCTTCAATGAATATTAGGAGATAGGATAGCCGAGTAGCCATTGTTCAGATGATTATCGCCTCAAGCGTCAAATTGAAATCATTTCTGATAAATAATAAATCTATCGCTAAGATATCGCAATGGTACTAGAAAATTCACTCTATCACCGGCCAAATATCTACGATAAAAAATTTCTAATTGTTTCTAACGGACTGACTTATCAGTTATGCTTATTGCAGTTATGATGATAAGAAAAATTTGCGATATTTTCGCAAAATTTTAGTCATAAAATATTAACGTTTAAAAAAAAAAAGAATGAAAAAATTTTAGAATTCAAAAAAGGAAAATATTTAAAATGAAAACGAAGAAAGAGTGATAAAAGACGAAATGATAAAATGTTCTAATTTTAAAACGAGAAATTTCGTTAGAATTATCCGAGAATGATATTCCTTCAATTGATATGTTAATCATATCAATTTGATTTGTGGTTAAAACATTATCTCTTCTATTTTCTAAGCTATAAAAACATGGAATCAGTGTTTTTTCTTATTTCTTTATTTTATTGCATTCTACTGCATTCTTCTCTTATGGTAGATTCTCACCTGTGGAAGGACAAATAGATTTTTGAAAAAAAAAATCAAATTTTAACAATTTTCAAATATAGAAATGATAAAAAGATAGAATGATTTAGGGGGTTGTTGCACTAATTCCGAAGCGCCTACGCACGAGTTCTATTCCTCGCAAGAGTGAATATCTATCCTTCAAAAATCTGGACAATACTGGCGACTCGCTTACTTTACTTCTACAATAGGAGCAAAAAGACTTTTTTGCAAAACTTATCTGGCCTGAAAAGCCAGCGGATGGAGTCCAATTAGAAATTTGTGCTTTTAAGAAAAAAATGTGATAAGAATATGATAAGAAAAAAAAAATGAAAAGTCGCATAAAATCATTTTTCAATTTTCAAATAAATTTGATAAAAAAATTTGCTATATTTCGATTTCAAAAAATTCTTTTTCTTTTTCAATCTTCGCGATATCTTATCAGTTTATTTAACGATAATATTTGATTTAGTGGATATATTTTAATAAACAATGAGGTCAAATCATATTAAACTGATCACTGATCCATTCTCATTTAGATTTATATGAATTATTTCATAAAACGATTAAAAATTTTTGCCACGTTTTGACCTTTTTTCCCAAATTTAGCAGTGAATTCGGCAAACAAATTAATAGTACTACTAAATGAAGGAATTTTATATGATTAAAAATTATTTCTCCCTTTTCTTCTTTTTTTTTAGCCAACTTTTTTAAAAAATCGGCGATCCACTTACGCTTCCACTATTAATTAAATTAAATTAAATTAAATAACTTTTAATTAGAAATCATATTAATCATCATTAATTTTATTTTAGAAATGTAAATACAAAATTTTTATTTTTTATTTTCTTATCAATTTATCTTTTTAATGAAGAAAATTTTGGTGATAAAAATATTTTAAAAACTTTCAATTGAAGATAAACTATTTATTAATTGATAATAATAAACATGCCATAATTTCAAATCTCAAAATTTTTGCTGCTTATCCTCAGCCGATCCTCTTGAATGAAATGATAATATCACAGTAATCAGTGAAATAAGCTGGAAAAAAAAAATCATGGCTGCGATTAGAAAAAAAATTTAAGAGTTAGAATGGCTTATGAGGGTTATTGCTCTCATTTCGGCGCATAGAAGATGAGATTCTACTCGTGGTACGAGTGAATTCTACTGTCAAACCAGAGTGTTCCTGGCGATCTATCAGTGCTTTTATTGATTTCCTAACAACATTTACTTAGTTCAACAAAACATTGGAATAAGCCTAACCAGAAATGATAAGCGCTTAAGGCTAAAAAAGCCTAATACTGAGAACCATAGGAACGATCAATATTATTATTATTATTAGTGGTAATTTTTTGAAATTTATATATAAAAATCGTTTACCATCGTGTAGAAAAATTTCATGAAAAAAAAAAAATTGCAGGGAAAATGAAGTTATACTTGACTATCAGTTATCTATTATTTTTATTTATAAGGAATACTATAAGCGAATTATCGAGTTGTCAAAGAGCAAAATGTTATCATTGTTTGATAACATTTGTCAACAAAATGTGTCCAACAACTTGCGAATTGTGCTTTGAAAAACAATTAAAAAATAAAGTGAGTCTTAAAAAAATTATATAGAAAAAACAAATTCAAAAAAATTAAAAAATTTTAATTTTGGTTTTAAATTAAATTTTTAAATAATAATAATCATAATTGAATAATAATATTAATTATTAAATAATCAAATAATAATAATCATTAAAAGTATAATTATTAATAATAATATTGTATTATTATTATTTTCATAAATAAATACTAAATTGTAGGAATTTAAGGAAGAAATATCAAATAATAAAATAAATGAACCAAAAAGAATTCAAGGAAATAAAACTTTTAAAATATCCTTTTTCCAACAAGAAGAGAGTAATTATTTCAAAAAACAACAGAACAATCGAAATCCGCCAGAATCTCGGGTTTTTTCTTTTTTTTTCTATTTTATACCAATTTTACCACAAATTTTATTGAAAAATCTCAATAATCCACCAAATTTCATGCATACATTAACATTTAATCGACATAACAACTTATTCATATAGAAAATAAATAAGTAAATCTGAAAAGTACGAGCAGTTTCGTTATCGCTCCAACTGGAAATATGTTAAATATACCGTTAAATGTAGGGAGCATAGGTCCGACAAAAAGGTGTCGTATAGCCATTGAAATTATTATTTTGCAATCTTAGTGGACGTGTGGACGTGTAGAGCAAATGAGTTCCACAATGAATTACCTCTCAAATTCTACTCAAAGCCATAATCAGCTAGCTATTTCTGCAAAGTTAGAGAGATAAAATATGAAATAAAAAGTGAATTGTTTGTTTGTGCTAACGTTAGAGAAATAATTGTAGATTTTATTGGTACCTCCTTTCCTGACGGGCTTTTTAATAATAACGATTTGTTGTATTAATCTCTTTGCTAGCATCCAGCATCTCGAAAGAAGTCGGTTCAACTGCAATGCACCCTCAAAATCTCTCTGCAAAACTTCCTTAAACTTCCTTCCGTAAACTTCCTTATATTCTCTCTTCTAAGACTCACTCCAAATCCTTTCTTTGACATGTATTCCAACGATAGGATATTCTTTTCCAGTGGTCATAGAAACAATTAAAAATTGGACTATAACTGTTCCATAATTGTGAGTTATGCAATTGAAGCTTTCTAAGCTTTGTGTTCAATTCAACTAAAAGAATAATCATTTTCTTCGTTTTATCATTGTCTTTGCTTATCATTGTTATAATAGGCATTTTTATGAATTATTTAATATGATAAAAATATGACATTTTAAACCAAATATATAAATATATAAATGAAGAAGTTCAGGCAACTCGGCCCAATTATAATTTACGACGAATATCACCATCATTAACACAGAAACAGCCAACTTATCAGCAGCTATCAACTAATAATTCATTAGAAATATTCTCTAATCAATCACGATCACAGATTATTCCATTTCCTCTAAAATTTTCAACATCGCTTCCTTCCATATTCAATCTTCAACCATTGTTTACAACTCCTCATCCTCTTCTCCTCCACCATTTTTCTTCTTATCCCTATCCTCACTCCTTTCATCTTCCTCCTCTTTTCCTTTCACGCCCATCTCCACCTTCACTTCCTTCTTTCTCTCCTTCTATTGCACATTACCATAAAATATCGCCAAATTCAATAATATATCCATTCACATTTTCATTCAGTTCGGTTTGTTTTTTGATTTTTTCCATCTTTCTACTTCCATTTTATTATCAGAAATCATTAGTAAATTTAATGATAAAAAGAAGAAATCAAATCAAATCAAGGTCATCCATTAAAAATTTATCACTTTATCATTTATTTATCATTAATCATTATACGTTATTAATCATTATTTATTTATCATTAAGTCACCTATTTTATTTTATCTTTTCAATTATTATATTTGATGCTTTTTTTTTAGTGAAATTTCTAGGTAATCCGATGTAAAAATGACAAGAAAATAATAAGCAGCATAATTTTTAGACATCTGCACCACACTCAAGTATGAATCCATATTTACCTCAACTATCACGACCCTTTTCAAACTTTTCATTAAGTCGTTCGGATCGGCCTGTCAGTTATCAATTGAAAGCATCAGCTTCACCAACATCTATATATAGAGGGTTGCCACCACCGCCACTGGCACCATCACCATCTCAATCAATAACACCATCATTCCTAGGACTACCATCGCAATTACAACAATCAACGAATCAGCAAACTTTCGGACAATATTTACCAGAAAATAATCAAAAATCTTGGAAAGAACAATATTCATCGCATTTCACCAATAATCACGTTATTTTTTCCATTTATTAACATTGAATTTATTGAATTTATAAGTTTTAAAAATTCATTATAAAGTTACAAAAAATTTATTATTAATTTTAATATCTTATCAATCGCATTCGAACAGAAATCTTATCAGTAATGAGTCGAGTCTTTTAGATGATTAGCAAATATTAACAAAATTGATAAAAAAAAATTGCGAATTAGATTAAAATCTATTACTAAAATCTAAATAATTACATTTATTAAATTTACTCAATAAAAATGCGAATGAAATGGAACTTTTAAATTTGATAACTTGAAAAATTCATTGCCCTATATGGATATTGAAATTTATTATAATTTATTTAATAAATAATTAGTGACTGCTGGTTAGGAAAGCTCCTACGGTGGTGTATTTTTGCCAGAAATCTCTTAGCAAAAGAAGTTAAGATGGACTACTACAACTAACTAATCGGATTACTATATGTAAATATGATTGCCATCAATTATGAAATCAACAAATTTTGCAAAATTAGCTGCATTGCAGGAGAATCAAATATCATCGCCATATTACTATAAACATGGTACCATACATCAAACAATTAGTAAAAATTCTCAAAATTCAAAATTTAAAACAAATGATAAGAAATTTTTCGAAAATAAGAAAAAAATATCACCAAAATATCATTCTCAGGTGAATAAATCTATTCATTTTCTATAAAATAATATAAATAAATATAAATATAAAAAATAAATATATATGCTGAATAAAATATGGGTGACGCTTAAATGCTTAAACCCTTAATAAAGTGTAAATTTAAGAAAAAGTTAAGCAAACATTATTTCTGGTTGGTTATATCTAAACTCTACTGGTAAAAAATTTTCACCAATAAACTATTCGGATCTTTTTTTATTAACGAAAAGTTCATTTTTTTAGTGCCCGCAGCGACAAAAATGGGAACCATGTATAAGTAAGGAATTAGCAAATGTACGATTTCGTTATTGTTGTAAAGAACTTGGTGAAGGATGCATATCATTATGCAATTATGATGCCACATTAACGACGGTTTATATTTATTTAAATTAAATTTTATATATATATTTTATTTCAATTCTTTGTTTTTTTTTAAATTTTAGAAAAAAAAGATCCCAAGGCTGGCTCTCAAGCCAGGGTAATTGCTCAAAACCTATCAACAGGAACAGCCCTCTGCACGCGCGGCGAGGTACTAGCCGTATTAACGTGGAACGCTTATGGACGTTGCAAGCCAAGCGATCACTGTCCACACCTGTCTAAGTATCGTGTGGATATCGCTTGCTTGTCGGAGGTCCATCTTCCTCACTTTGGGTCTCGAGCAATTGTTAGTCCTGGTTCAGACCAGAGATACTGGCTATATCACTGTGGTGCTTCGAATAACTCGAGACGAAAATGCGTAGCGATTGTCATGTCTGACAAGGCTTTGATTGAGTGGAAATCGATAAACGACCGTATGGCCTATGCCTATTTTAAGGGTAAGTTCTGCAATATCTCGGTCATCAGTGTCTATGCTCCAAAGCTGTAGGCACATGACCGTGATAAAGACAAGTTCTATGTGGAACTTCAACTGCTAACAAAACTTTTGAACATAAAAGTGGACCAGCAATATATGGACTTAGACGGTGGAAAAAGGAATGGCTTCCATTACTGTCGACGATGGCATCAGAACGCACCGCTTGGAAGCGTCTTACCCTTGCAGCCGTTGGAGCCAACCTAACCAGTAATGGTGAGAGCTGTTAGAAGAAGAAGAAGATTTATTAAATATTTAAAATATTTATCATTTAATTTTTCTTAATTATTGAAATGAAATGATATACTTATCAAATAATAATTAAAATAATAATATTAATTACTAATTAATTAATTATTAATTAATAATTAAAAACTAAAAAATAATATTAAAAAAAATAACAACAATGTATTTAAATATGAAATAATGATAAATGCTAATAAGATACGACCGCGCTTTTTTTTTTATTTCATAAAAATTTGCAAATTCAATGGAAAAAAAATGAAAAAAATGTTGCTTATGTAAAAAGCTCAATAAATTTTAGCTATACGATATTTGAATTTTTAAATTTTTTATCAAAAAAAACTTGAGGAACACCAATGAATAATAGTGAAATGCATGAAAATGCATGTTATATCTATGCATTTATTGGTAAAACTAGTTTAACGAATAAGACAATTATGAGAACTTCTTAAATGAGAACTGATAAGGCTAAAATAATTTCAATCTGTAGACGAATATATAAAAGCATTTGAATTCGAGTTGAAATGGTAAAAATTATTGTAAATTATTCAGATTAATATGATCATAAATGCGTCGGTGGCTTATTAGCAGGATAAATGCTATAGAGAATCGAGAAATCGCTGCGATTCGAGTCTGGCCGAATAAGATTAATGAAGGCAGAAAAAGGGGTTTAAATGGGAAGGAATCATTTCCTGCAAAAATCTGAGTCAGATAATGGCGATTCATCTGAAATTAGTGAAAGCCTACCCTGATGCCACTCGAATACTTTAAATCATCTTTCAATAAAGATGAATCTATCGAATTGACCGATCTACCAACAAACTTATTTTAAAAAAATTTTTTAGATCCAGTTAGGTGTATTAACGGGACGTTGCCCATTAAATAAAGTACAGACAATGATGGTTTGCGCAAGCGGTGGTAAAGATGCGTCCGAATGTTGTCGAGCACATAACGTCTTTGAAACAGGCTATGAACACTGTCAACCGTATTGTAATCCATCAGCAGGATTACCGCAAGGTGGTATGCTTAGTGAAAAATACAAATGTTTGGGTAAACTTAAACAAATTCAACGATGCTTTTTTGTTTCACAAATACCATAATTTTATCTTCTCTAGATATAATTCGTGTACTTCAGAAATAGTTCATATTTTTATTTTTTCTTTTACAGGCTTTATTTTTTTTTTAGCAATCTGCTGCTAATGAGTTAATCCAAAATAAGAATAAGTAGGCCGACAAAATCAACCAAAAAAACTATTAAGAAAAATAACCGTTAACCAAGAAAAAGATTTTGTCGTATGGAATATGGAAGATCCAAGTGGCTTCCTTAGTAGCCGCTTTTGATGACAGATTTAGTATCATCAAAAAAATAGCACGATAGAATATATTATCTTTTAAGATAAAAACAAAAAAAAAATTCGGATGAAAAATTAAATAAGGTACATCAGAATAAATTGTTAATCTGTTTAAAAGTTAAAGATCCATGAGAACAATTTGTGATGTAGAATAAAAATTTTACATTATTTTTCTCAATGAATTTACGCTTTCTTAAATAAATAAAGGAATATAAATAAATTAATGTTAATTAATATTTACGATTAGACGGAAATTAAACATGCAATAAAAAAAAGAAAATTGTTCAACCTCAAAGAAACAAAATAAGCTCACCTCTGTAGTATTTGCGATTTTTCCAATATTTTACGACCATACCTGTGCGATGATATTCCACCGATCATTGCGAAATAATACATCGAATAAGATGATTCCAAATTCCGATGATAGAAGATACCACTGTTTATTTTGTTCTACAATAAATAATTGATATTTATTTGCCATTATCATCTTAAACGAAAAAGAAATGATGGGTTAAATTTTATTCAAATGGTTGAAAACAAAAAATTTACTAGTTCTAGATCATTCATGCATTCCTGAATAAATTTCATAATCAGTTCCTCAAAATACAATTCCACTTCACAAAGCGGTGGCAAAAGACGTAATGCCCGACACGCACATCCAACAACAAATGGATCTTGATCAAAGAAACTGGCATTCGCAATGCCGACTTGCTTCAAAGGTGATAAATATTGTAGTAACTATAATTCAATGATGAAAATAAATTATAATCAATGATAAAAAAAAACAAAACTATTAAGGAAGATAATCGTCTGATATTAAAATTTTAAGATTACATCAGTGAAAAATTTGTGGCACTTCTCTGAATGTTTGTGCCGAATAATTAATGAATGGTCAGTTTCAAGAAGTTTAACAATTCTATCAACTACTGGCCACATCAATTTCCCCTTCGTTCCATCACATATTTTTGCAAACATATTTTCAATGTCGCCGAAAATATCTAAAAAATATCATTTAAAAAACTGAAATATAATTAGTATTAAATTTAAAAAATCTATCCAAAATGTCAAAAATAATTTTAAAATAAAAACTAATTGTTGAAAATATAAAATAGTTAAATATGAAAAGGTGATCAACCCTTATCGACGTTCGATTTTTCTGATAAATTTATTCTCGTATTTGAATAACTTCTCGTTTCAGAATTGAATTTTTGCATAAAAAGATGTAAGTTTGATAAATTTGAATGCCCTTTTTTATGAAAAGATATTTCGTTTAGCAAATCCAAACGATTTAATATTAAAGGAGCATTTCTGAAAAGAAGAAGAAGATAACTATTAATCCTTATCCAAGAAAAGCTTTTTAAATAAAATTATTTTCGGATTAATTTAACTTGATTGTAGTAAAAAAAGCCTACAGCATGGTATATTTCCCACCTTCTTTCCTTCTTAGAAAAAAAAAATTTTTTCAAGTGCTTTCTCGATATCTAACTTTTCTTGAATCAATATGCAAAATCGTCGAATTTATATCAAAATAATTAAATAATTAATAAATAATTAAAACAAATATCAAAAACTAAAAGCGTAAAAGATTAAAAACCCTAATGATGAAAATTCTCGAAAAACCAAAATCCTAAGTGAGAAAAAAATGTTAGAAATATACTGACTTTCTTTCACTTTCTTTCATCAGAAATGTTCAATGTTCCGTGTATCAATAAGAAAAACCCCAGAAATTGATTAGTAGATTGAGTTATGATGCATAGGGAAAGAATCGTTGGAAATAATTCATAAAGTGAATTTTAAGGAAGTTTTTCTCTCCATATTAAGGAATTTTCAGGTTTGAAAATTTTCAGGCATTTCTGAAGTTTTTCTTATTGGTCATAACATTTTTAAGATTCTTCCTGCCATGAAATTAGGATAGAAAATATGAAATTTTATATTTTTCTTATTCGTGATTTTGAACGGCTTCCAAGACCAGCATCAAAACCAAAAACCAAAAATTTTTAGTTACAGAGTACAATACCTTTTATCTTTGCACTATTTTGAATTACCTGGAGTTGGAAAAAGTGAAAGATTCTCTATTATATTTTTCAGTAGCATTTAATTGGACCTCGCATGAGCTTTCAACAAGCATAGGCAAACTCATTACTCGATAACGCCATTCGACTGGCAAGAACATTGATCCCTGAAGTTAGATGTACAATTATATTGAAAAAATTTTTAAAGAAAACTTCACAGCAAAATATTCGTTATAAAATTGTGAAATATTCCAGATAATTTAAAACAAGGATTACCAGTAGAATAATATCAGCTAAAAGAAGTGTTGCTTTAATTCCCAGCTGACTATCGAAATCAGTTAAAATTAAACGTGACAGAATCTGAAATATTAACCTAAAAGAAATTTGTTAAATAATAAAAAATAAAATTTGTTAAATGATAAAAAATAAAAAATAATTATTAAAATTACTAACATTACCTGGACAATATTTGAATTGACGAAAAAATACAACATCAATGCACGAAATGAAAATAATAAATTCACATGCTCACAGTGTTCCTTAAAAAAATTATGAGACGAATAATTAAACGGATTAACGGATTCATAGAAATGTCCCCTCTCAATACATCTATTCTACAGCATCGAATGTATTAAATTGGATAAAGTTGAAAAACAATCTTAACGATCAATATATGAGAAAAAAACATGAAAATGACGATTTTAAACAATCATAATTCAGAAATTTAATGCAACATCGAGCGGATATGTGAATTGTGAATGGAGATAATTCTGTAACTTTTAAAATAAACACTGGAACAAGAGGAAGAACTCAACGGTTAAGATTAAAAACAAAACTAATGATTAAGAAAAAGGTCGAGTAAAAAAATAGATAAGTAGTTCCAATCTTTTATTTAGAATCAATAAAATATATATGCCAACAAAAATAAAATAATACCTGATCATTTTTTATTGAATATTCATATTCAGCAACAATAAAATCATTCTCCAGCGATTCATTACCATTCAAACCATGTGCAGCTGCTTTAAAAAATTTTTTTTGTCGATATGATAGTAGAATATATATTTTTAAATAAAATAAGAAAAAAAATTACAATAAAATTCGGTAGCATCTGTCCATGAGTCAAATTTTCGATGTGCATATGAGAAATCAAGAAGTTTACAAATACAATCAATTAACATAACTCGTACTTCATATAATCGTCGATCGGCAGAGGAATCGTTCGATAGTTGATCTAGAATTCTAAAACAACAAAATGAGCTGTATTAATAAATAGAATGACATTAAAAGATGCCTCGTTTACCTGGTCCTAAAAGTGGTTTCGGTTAAATTTTATGTAAGCACTGGAAGTGGATAAACTGGAAACATATATTATTAATGAGTAAAGCCAGCCAAACCAGAAATATAGCCAGCTCTTATGATAAATGCACAATTTGATTAAATAAATTATGAAAATTATTTTCTTATCTCTCTAAAAAAAAAAATGAAAACCTTATCGGTGATACCAGCGAATTGTTCGAATTAAACTCGGGAATAGAAAAAGCGATAAGACCCTGCCATGAATGAAAAAATTCTATGAATATATTGCTAATATTATTCAAAACTGTCTTGCTTTCCAAAGAACACGTGGTATGATCGCTGCAAAAAAAAACATTGAAAGAATTGATGAAAATTCATAAAAAAACTATGGCGAAAGAGCCACAAAGCTCTCAGCGCCCAATATGCATGGATTCTAACTCATTAACTCAATAAATATGCGAACCAAGCCTTGAAAAAAAAATAAAAAAGATATAAAGTTCTCCAATTGCCCAAACTAAGCTGAGGAGGACAGGAAGTGAGTTAACAAAATGTAGAATGCTCACTGATTTAGAAAGTTAAGCGACAATCTCGCTTGTCAATCAGGATTCCATTTTCATAACTTTGGTCTTATAGAAATAATTGTATGTGGTTCAGGCAAGCACTGGTAGCTCTATCATGAGCATTGTAATGCTATCGCCTCACAGGCCATCTATCGCCAGTACAAATAATAACCAGTTCTCATCGACTGTAAATATTGGTATTCCTCTTCGTCCTCATGGAGTTACCTATTTGCATAAATACGCTTTGCACAATTCAGATTTGGAACAATATTGTTAAGGTCGAAAAATCATAATCTCTAATCGCTAATGATCGAATGGGTCATGTTCATTTTAAGGAATCTACAAGTTCTGCAATATCTCCATCATATTTATGTGGCTGAACTGAGTAGCAATTAATGAACAATCTAGACAAAGGAAGATTCTATGCACAGCTAAACCCAAAAACTGCCACCAATTCTTGCAAGAGAGATTTTAATAGCACAGGCAACCCAGCAATATATGAGGAGGTAGAAAAATGTGAGGATCCAGCCATGGCATATGATACGGAGACTTCGAAACGTCTTAACTTAGGCTAGTGGAGTCAGCTTGCAAAGGTGTTAACCTCAAGTGTCCATCTGAAAATTTTATTTTATTTTATTTATTTGTTGAACGGGATTGAGAACCTACCTTCGATCAATGTAAAATGAAGAAAAATTCATCTCAATTAAAGGAGCGAAGATTTGCTGAAAAAATATGGAAGTAGCAAAAAAAAAAATATACACAATAAATATTAAAAGATTCAACGACAAATAAGTTTGGTAATAAACAATAAATTTGATTATAATAACAAATTGCCTAACCTGTAAAACCAAAGAAAGTTTTCCTTTTGATCGAATATGAGGATTGTCGAGCCATGAACAAAGAATCCGACAGATCTGTATAGGAATACTTTCATCTGCTTGATGCCAGAGCATGAAATCAACAATCCAACCTATATTAAATAAAAAATAAATAAATCAAACATCGAACATCGAAAAAGTAGTTAAAGAACCATATCGCTATCTCTCATCCCTCAACTAACGCTATAGTGAAACGATAGTAAACAGTTGAGCTATTCAGATTAGAAAAAGAAGAAACACTACCTGTTCCAACAGCATCAATAATGGTTTCCGGTTCTCGTACGGCAAGTTCGAGAAAAAATTTCGAAAAAACGTTTGCAGATCTGAAAAAGTTCATATAGAAAAATTCATTCTCGAAATTTTCAAAATAATTTTTATGAAATGCAAGAAAATTTCGATAAAATACGAACGAATCGATGGTTTCACTAAATTTTTTAGATTCCAGAATAAAATTTTTTGCTATAACAAATATCGATTGGATAAGCGAATGTGAAAAACGATAAAATTTGCAATTCGAATTCAAATTTTCGCTTGAATGCTTCATTTTCCAATGATTATAGAAGTTAAACATCAATGTGGTGAGTTTCAGACTTTCTATACTTTCATTACGATTAATTGTTTGTAAGTCGAAGGCTCTTAAAAAAAGGACAATTGAAAAAATTAAAAATATAACAAAATATCACTTAAATATCACTAAATATCACTTAAAAATTTAAAGTTTTTTTGAGAACTCATTTAAAAAAGAATTAAAAATATTGAATAACTTTTAGTAAATTTGAATATTTAAGGAAAAAAAATTTAAATTTTACAAAATGAAAAGGAAAAAGAAAATTTCACTTAGACGAAGAAATTTTAGAAATAAAAAAAAAATAATAATTTAATAATTAAATAATTTAATAATTAAACAATTTAAATAATATTTAAATGAAGTCAAAAAAAAAAATTAAAAATTAAAAATTATTTTCAAAAATAAAGAGGAAATTTAATAACCTTACAATGAAAATATGAACGTGATAATCTAATAAAATCGTAAATTGTTCGTAAGTTTTAAGCGATAAACGAAATATTTGAAAAACCAATGTTCGTACTGATTCATATTTGTTAAATAAATATTTTGCGATTCTGCAAAAAAAAAAGTTAAATTTCAAATTTCAAAAACTTTCCGTCAAAAAAATAAAACAAAATTAAATGAATAAATAAATTTCAAAAATGCATTTTGCATATTTGCATATTTGCATGATAAGCGAAATGGCGAATAGAATGGCTCAGTGGGTTGTTGTCTAATTTGGAGCGCCGATGCTGAAGTTCGATTCCTCACAGGAATAAACCTATAAACCAACAATCCGTGTGATGCTGGCGATTCACCTGTACTTCTATCGTCAAGAAATTCCCTGGCATATTTATCTAATGCGACAAGCCAGAGGAGCGAGCTTAACCAGTAATAGTGAGGACTTTTAAAAAAAAAAAAGTGATAAGTGGAATAACCTTTCACATAATTTTTTAAAAAAATTAATTTCATATATCGGTGGTGCGTTGACGAGTAATTCGCATAATTTATATAAATATTTTCGAATTGTCTCATAACTATTTCCTGGATCGCAATCGGCTTTTATACCATCTTCGATATATTTTGAAATTTCTTTATGCAATTCAATTTCGACCATTTTAGAAACTGAAAATTCATTTCAATAAATGAATTATTGGAAAAAATCTAAAAAAAGAAATAAATAAAATTAACTGCGAACAACTCGTCGACCAAGTATAGCATCGGGATACGACGCAACAGTGGGAAACGTCTTCTTGGCTTTGCAAAATATATAATACATATTTCCGTCATAGAATCAGGTGGAACTTTCCGGACAACCGATAGCCCAACCAGATTGATTATATCGTAATAAGTCGCCATTGGAAGAGTCCAGTACCAGACAGCCGTTTCTATTGAGTGAAAGTGGTAGTCTTCATGGATTAGACCATATTACAAAATGGAAAGAATTATTTTGAGGACTTAAGACCAATAAGACTCCTGAAGAAGATCCCCTTTAAGCCGGACTCTTCAATTATTTATTCATCGTCCTTCATATCACACCTTCAACAAATAGACTCCATACATGGCAAAAGGAAATAATATCAGATGGCTGAAGCAAAGCAATTCTGTTCCAACTTCCGAAGAAATACAACAGGATGACATGAACCAGTCTAATAGACATCTCTGGGAAAACTCTCCTCCTGTTATAGTGGCCGAAAGAGGCAAAAGGATGCCAATCACCATCAAAGTATTCCATCAGTGTGCAACACCTAAGGTATGTTGCACTGATGCAATCTTGCGAAATGACGATGCTAGCCTATGGCCTCAAGGCTGTGGACCTTCTTTTTTATGAACATAATAATATCTGTAATAAAGAAAGAATAATAACGCAACGAAAAAGATTATATCAACCGCTGTTTTTTCACAAATTAATATTTATTTATTAAATTTATTATTTTATTAAATTTATTTATACTTTTTATTTATAAAAATTTAAATGAATTCCTCTTGTTTTATTTTTTTTTATGATTGATTCGCTCGTTGAAATATCATCTAAAACAAATCAAAAATGTTATTAATGATGAGCGGCATTGATGAAAGTGATAAATCCATTTCAATCTCATCCATCTGAATGATATTTTCATCTAATTGATAAATCACAAAACCCAATTCAAAAAATTTTTAGTTATAAAAGCACGCAGTAAACAAGAAAATTCTATAGCTTAGGATAAAATCCAACTTTATTTCAATTCAAAATTATGGAAATATGATAACATTTATAAACCAAAATCCAATATAGAAAAAATTAATCATTCGTTTATTAATCTCTACTATACACATTATTTGGCACTGGTTATAGCTGTATTAAGGATTGATAAGGATTGATTATCCCATACGTATCACTCAAAACCTCGGAAATTCGTAAAGTAGCTTAACATCCCCGATCTTCTAATATTTACCTCAAATCCTTAAAATTCTACATCAAACCTTCCAATTCTGGTAGAACCTTTAGTTATGCTCACTTCCCTATCGCAACTCTTTAATTTGTAATAGCTATCTCGAATGACCATTATATTTCCGATGCCTTACAGGAGAAAAAGGATTAGAACGGCTAGGAAGCAATTAGAAATTAGGCATTAATGGCAAAAATGGGTTAATGCTGTAGCATTTAACAATTGAGGGCCATTTGCAAAATATAGCAGCTTCTAGTTTTGAATCAAAGAAGAAGAAGTGCTTCGGAAGCACGGAGAGTTGTAACAAGTTTTGAGGTACCTGTCAAGGAATTAAAATGGCATTTATGCAAGTGAAGATATTACAAGATGATACCAAAGTGAATGGCGAAAAAGAAAGCTAATGAAATATTGGAGGATCATAATGGAGATGATAAGTTGAGCAAAGGCAAAAGCTAGAAATGGACGACGTTTAACCAAATAATAATAATAATGACATTAGGATAATACCTGATGGAATTTGAGAAGATTCTGATAAAATTTAATAAATCTTGATAAAGAAAACTAATTTTTTTCCCGTATACATATAAATATATATAAACAAGCGTAATAAATTACTATAAATCCAATAGAAAACATTCCGCTTCGATAAATATATGAAAAACTTCAGAAGAATAAAACAAAAATTAAATAAAGCGTTAATACAATCTAGATGATTCATATCTGATATGAATTTTTTTTGACAAATAATATAAGACTGAAAGGTTTTAATATCGTTATTATGATCAGCTCAACATCATAAGCATTTGGCCCTTAATCGTTAAAATTTTGGAAATATTTAATTTCGAATTTATGACGATTTTCAATAACTGGGAAACGAAGGAAAATTAAAGCTGCACAAATAAGGTATCAAAGTATACATAAATACATAAGCATATATAAATTTTCAAATAATACCATTTCAAAAAGCAGAAATATCATTTTTTGCTGAGCTTTTCAGACAATATTTACCAGAAATGAGAAGATCAAAAGCACCTGTACCACCTTTTATATGCCTTCCAACAATAATTCGTGAAGAAGGTGACGATAAACGATCGATATCACCTAGAAATATACCAGTAATAAATCGATAATCGACAAAGCATTGAAATATGCCACCAGCCGAAAAAAAATAGAAAAAAAATACGATCACTGTAAGATTATAGATAAGATCAAAGAATTTAAATTAGACAAAAAATATAACCGTTAATGACAGCCTCACGCATAAAAGTGGATGTGGTTTCAAATGTCATTTTTTGCAGTGGTGACGCACTATTACCCATTGCTAATCTACTAAAAGGTTCAATTTTCCCAGTAAACGTCATATAATCGGCTGTGAGAGTTAAATGTCGTTGATTGACACTGATACCATATGGAGCGAAAACATTGGTAATTTCCTTCAAAATTCTCAGAAATAAAATGGTATAGAATTAGAATAGAAATTGTAAATTCGTGAAACAATTCAAACACATAAAAAAAATAAAGCATACTTTTACAAGTGATCTCGCACAAGCTTCTATACCGTAGCTGTTTAGAATTATATTCAAATCATTGCAATAAAATGAATTCATATCCAACACATCAGAAAACTTTAGTAATGACTGAAATTTAATTTCAATAATTTTAATGAAGCCATCTCCAACGATATGCAGAGAACAGAATCAAAAAACTTAAGACCAGTCGAAAAACACTTGCCCTTTAGAAGAATGAATGGTTTCAGTAAATTTCACAGAATTCTCACTTAAAAGGTCTCACTCTAGTGGCAAATTAAATTAGAAATCTTGTGCGCTATTAGAGAAAAGGAATGATCAATTTAATATGAATAATAGATATAAAATATAAATATATTTATAAAATATTATTATTGCAATATTATTGCAGCTTTAAGCAAATTTAAACCCAAATCTACCTGAATATTTATGCCCTGCGTAACGAGAACAAGACGTTCTTGACCATTGACGTTATCCTCTTTAATAAAGCACTTTTCAATGCCTTGAGTTTCAGAGACCAAAAAGTTTTCTATTTCATATTCAACCAAAGTTGATATATCTAATCGCGTTTTGGGATTCAAATTCACCTGAACACAGAAAAGAACTAAATATGCGAATTTTCCTGTTGGATAAATTTTTTGCATTCTCATCATTAACATTCTATTGCCCTAAAAAAATTTTTCTTTTTCACTATTTTTCAGAATTACCTGGAAAGTGATAGTGCACCAGCGATTATGTTTACTATCGAATTTGTAATCTTTAACCATAGGTGAAGAACATAAAACTGCCTGTAATGAAATAATAAATGAATGAAAAGAGTCTAATGAATCTATAGCAAAATGCAAAAATTTTATGAGAACTAAGAGTGAACCACAGACCTGAATTCGCGATTTTTCAAATTCTCTGCTAGTTAACTTCGACTTTAAATGATCATTTTCTTCATGCTGATTCTGTTCATTTTCATATTCATTATCATCGGAAACTTCGGCTAAATTATCCTGAAAATAACCATTTTTTTCATAACTTCAATAGATAGAACTTTAAAATGAATAAAAAACATTAAACACCTCAAATATAGACGCAACATACCATAAATCGAGTTTCTGGAGCAATAACTTCTTTTTCTTCATCTTCACCTTCATATTCAGCAGCATCATCAAGATGTCTTTGTTTAAGTCGCGATTCAGCTGCATCTGCGTCAGCTCCAACATCTGCTTCCTCATCACTGCTAAGTCCATCAGCCTAATTATATTTTTATAGATTTCAAAAAACTTTTAATTTAGCATCTGAAACTCTATAAAATTTTCTCAATGTTATCTTTTTGTTACAAATTGTTACAAATGAAAAAATCAAAAATTAAAAAATTAAAATTTAATTAAGGATTTCTTAATAATCCACAAACTTGATTATGTTGACGAGCTCGTGCAACAAATTCATCCCCAGCTGCAGCAAATTTGAATTTTCTAGGAAAAAGAAAATATATAAAATGAAATTAATGAAATAAAAGAAACTAAAAATAAAGAAAAAAAACAGGAAAAAAATTTAAAAAATTCAAGAAAATAAAAAATGCCCTAACCTATGCACAACGGCTTGATATTCCATAATTTGCCGGAATTTGTCGCCAATTCGTTTAGCGATACTTTTTACGAATCTCCGTTCAATTTCGCCAAGTATTTGCCGGCAAGAAATGTGCTTTGAACCTTCATCTCTTGATTTCGAACGTAAAATTTTTATTGTGAGATCGTACGTTCTCCAGCAATTGCTAAAATCAAAAGAAATCAAATAATATAGAAAAATATTAAGAAATATTAAGAGGAAATATTAAAAAATATTAAGAAATAAATAGTAAAATATTAAAAATATTAAAAAAATAAGAACAAGTAAACATGGAGATATAAAAAAGGAATTGTGTTTTCCAGCATTTTTTTAACTTTTCTTGCATTAAGAAATATCTAAAAAAACAGTAATTATAAATAAGACTATAAATGAAGTTTAGAAATCTATGAAATTTCTTCTTGATTTCCTCAGAAAAATATTTATGAATGTAAAAAATGCAAAGATCTGTAAAAAAATATACCTGGGTCCAATACTAATTTTTTCATCAATAACAAAATTTTCTATCACCCGTTTTAAATAAATTCGATTAAGTTCATTTTCTACATATTCCAGTTGTTCTTTAGAAATTCCTGGCTTGACTCTAATCTGAATAACTTTGATTAACCAATATTCGTTACTTTGTTAGTATAATTAAGAAAAAAATGATACCTCAGCATTTGGAGTTTTGATGGATTGTCCAGCCGTCATTAAAATTTCACGAAGCCTAGGAATTCCAAGGGTTACATTCATTTCACCACGACCAGCAAAATGAAAAGTATTCAATGTCATTTGGGTGGATGGTTCTCCAATAGATTGTGCAGCTAACATTCCAACATTTTCGCCAGGATCAACCTGGCAACGTAAAGCTATAAATTTACAAATCTATAGATCGGAAGCAATGAATGCATTGAAAAAAATTAAAGAAATTAAGAAATTAAACCACATTATCTAAAAGTCAGTTCATAAATGAATTTGACCATACAATAATTTCACATATCTTTTTATGAAAACAATCGCTTCTTAATTATTAATAAATTGTTTTAAATTTAATTTGTTAATACTTGTTACTAATACTTGATTCTGACATCGTAGAAAATATCTAGTCACATGGAACTCCCTGGACAACCAACATTTCAACCAGATTGATTACATCCTAGTCAGTCGCCGTTGGAAGAGTTCCGTACTAGATGGTCATTCCTATCGCGGAACTGAAAGAGCAATCATGGATCTGACCATGATATGATTCGAGGTAAGATCCGCATAAAACTGACAACCCGCAGAAAACACCATCCCCCAAGATCCTTCAAGTATCTCAAACTAAAAAATTCGGGGACAGTCATTGCATTTCAAACCGAATCATCTCAATGATATAAATATCAATGATTTTTCAGAGACGGCAAATGAATACGGGTCCAAACTAAAGGAATGTCTCCGAAAATCAGCCTAAGCCATCTGTTACTCCTGATATAGCTGATACGTTTGCCGAAGCATATGCTTGCAATTGCGAGCCTTCAACAGAGAAAGAAATAATCTCCGTTATCCACAAGCTTGAGGCCAATCCAGAAGCCAATAAGGTTCCGGGAGAAGATGGTCTACGGGCTGAACTCTTTAAATGCTGTCCATCGTCCTTCATAATGCACCTTCAACAAATATACTCTTTAGTATGGAAAAAAGAAATATTAGATGATTGAAGCAAAGCAATTCTGCTCCCAATTTTCAAAAAAATTTTTGCTTCCCTACTACTCAACAGATTTATGGAAATACGGGACAGCAGGATGCGCCCTAATCAAGCTGGTTTCAGACCAGGGCGCGGTTGTGCTGACCAGATATTCACGTTAAGAAGGGTGTTGGAACATCGTTTCAGATATTTGCAACCCACTATCACGACTTTGCGGCTGCGTTTGATTCAATTGATAGAGCGTCGCTTTGGAGGAACTTGACGGTGTTCCAGAGAAAATCATTCGACTTATAAAGGCATTTTATAAGCGCACATCGGCGCAGGTCTGTTAAGAACTGGTGTACGTCAAAGTTGCGTCCTTTCCCACACAATATTCAATTATATGTAGTCCTTTTTGCTGATAATTATGATGAAATGAAAATAATGGTAAATAACGTGTCAGCAACTGCAGCAAGAATTGGACTCAGGATCAATGCAAATAAAACGAAAGTCTTTTCGTCTTATATGCAAGAAGTTGATAAAATGCCTCTTTTGTAAATAAATTCATTTCCAATTGAGGAAGTACCCGATTTCAAATATCTTGGGTCCACTCTAATACCAAATGGACAGGTAAAAGATGATATTACAACTCGGATCACGGCAGCTAGAAATGCGTTCTTCAGGTTGGCGAAATCTTCGTGAAGCAAACATAAAATCACCATAAAAACAAAAGTCCGCAATTATATAGCCGCGATTCGTTCAATTTTGCTATATGGCTGCGAGATAGGGCCAATGAGAGTGGAGGATATTAAGAAGTTAAGAAGTAATCTGCCTTTAACCACTCTTGTCTAAGGTACTGGTTTTACTGGTCGAGCGTATAAAATATCACATGATCATCCACCATCGTTCGAACATCACCTGCATTAATAATGTCATCACAGAGTGCCGTCTTCACTGGTAGGGCACATTTTCAGCCGTCCACCACAGGAGTTGTTGCATATTTCGGTACTTGCTAAACATGTGATGGATGGCGTCAAAAGAGAGGTGGGCCAATCAATACCTGGACTGATATGGTCAGGAAAGAATTTGAACGTATAGGTGGACCAGCAATATATGGACTTAGACGATGGAAAAAGTAATGGTTTCCATTACTGTCGACGATGACATCAGACCACGCTGCTTGGAAGCATCTTACCCTTGTAGCCGTTGGAGCCAGCCTAGCCATTAATGGTTAGAAGAAGAAATTTAATTAATTTATTTAAGCTATTAATTGAAAAATAGGAAATGAAGAATGAGGTTCGGAAGATAAAAGTGTGAATAAACAAAAAATTAATAACCTTTCCAGTACATTGCTTTCTGTAAAGCATCCCATGGGTAATCAGGGTTAATCAATTTTTTTTTATCGATATAAATACTTAAATCATCCAATATTTTTTCATTAAGTGACGCAGAAGTGTTAAGTTTCTGGAAAAAATCAAAAACCAAGATCATAAAAGCAAAATAAATTTTGTTGAGCTTTTTCTCGAAAGCAGAAATTTTGAAAAAAGAAAAAACGAAAAAAGAAAAGAAAAAACGAACCTCACCAATCAATTTACGGCGTCCCTTAGCAGCTTTCTTTTGATACTGCAGTTTTTCCTCCGCGCTTAGATGGTACCACATTTCCATAAGTTTTTCCTTTGTTACGCCACCATAGACTTTCGAAAACTCGGTAAATCCACTAGTGTATAACTTTGATAAATTTTTGTTGCTTTTATTGCGCCATTTTTTTACCTACAAGTAGACAAAAATTTAAAAACTCCATATTAAACACAAACATAAAAAATATAAAAATAACATAATAAAATAATTAAGTTTATAAAAACAGCAATCTTTTTTGCATAAATCTCCAAATAATAGATGCTAACTTTTTTATATAATTCTTCAAATTTAGCAAAATTCCCTTTGCTATTTTCTGCCTTTAGCGGCACCACATTCGCACGAAGAGCTTTTAGATTATCGTAAAAAAAATCGAATTGACTGGGATGGATGAAACTAGATCGACAAACATCCATTCCATCTTCACCATACATAAACTTAAATTCAAAATTTTTTGGATTTACAAATAAAAAAACTGAAAGATTGAAAAACTATGCTTTGTTATGCTTCTCTCCTTTTTTTTGTTTTTTTTATTAAACAATGATTTTAGTGAATCTGCATTTGAAACATCAACTGCTGGTAAAGGATTGAGAAACAATAGTTCCAACCATGGCCAAAGATATGAACTAAAAAGTTTCCGCGTTGACGAGGTCTATGCACACTTATGGATCTAAAATTATTTCATGGTTGACCTTCAGATATGAGAATGTCAGAAATTTGAAAAAATTATTTTTTCTTTGATACTTTGATACTTTTTTAAAAAACATTTACATCTCCAGTGAGATTTTCGATACTTTCCTAATTTCTAAACATAACTCTGTGAAAAAAAAACATCATAGTGGCAGCATCTTATAGCTACTATATAATTTTTCCATAAACATAAAATTTTTCAATTATCAACCGCTTTCGTTAATTTTTTTCTTACGTTGAAAGACGCACGATTTTCTAATGTAAAGATTTCAAACAATAGTTGTTTTTCCAAATATAACGAAATTGATCATGGGTTATCTCTAAATTTTCGGACAATTCAATAGAGGATAATACGTAATAATAAAATATGAATTGTAAAATATTAACCACAAACACTTTTCACATGAAATGTCTAATGTCTACTTCGAAATCCAAACTTCTTTGGTAAGCTTTTTGCTTATACTACCATAGTATACATTTTTTTTCCAAAACAGTATCGTCGTATTACCGTTTCATCTTTGTATACTTATCATAGAGAAACTTAAGAAATACGCATGGAAGAAATGATAAAAAAAGATGCATGGAAGAAAAAATGTATTATACTGTGTGACTGTGGGGTAACTGTGTGAGTAGATGGGGAAATATAACATACCAAATATTACAATATATAAAAACACCAAAAATGCGAAATATTAGGATTGCAGAAAAACACACCTGAATAACACTACCATCATGGTCCCGAACTGTTGAATCATATTGTAAAACAAGTCCTTCCAAATGCTTAACAATACATCGCTGCAAATAGCCTGAACGTGATGTCTTAACTGCTGTGTCAATTAAACCCTGAAAATGAACGACGACTAATTTTGTATGAAAAAAAATATTTACAGCATCATATTATAGCAATGTCGCCAAAAAGTTAGACAAACCTCTCTTCCCGCCATAGTATGAAAGAAAAGTTCTTGTGGACTAATACCAGTTAAAAAGCGCTGATCCACAAATCCACCAGCACGTGGTGACGTATCAAAGATCTTAAACGATGGTAAGCTGCGACCAGCGATAGTTACTGGTGGCCGTTGTCCTTCTAATTCAATCTGTCCTAATCCACAACTTATCTGAACTATTTACTATTATCTGAACTATTTAGATAACACACAGAAAAAAGTGAACCTTAATTATTACTGCAGAAAAATGGAAAATCATTGTGTTAATATTAGTGTTTTATTAATTAATATATTTATTATTCCTTCAAACATTTGTTCTCTCTTCTGTGATATGCATTTTTACATTCATAAAGGCAGAATGGCTCAGTGGGTTATTGCTAAATTCGGAATTCTATGATGAAATCGCAGCAGGAATAATAAATCTGTCTAAAAATCTGGGTGAGGCTAGCGACTCACCTGTACTTCTATCGCAAAAGGATTCTCTGGCAAATATGGCATAGAATGAGCGGAGCGAATGTAACTATTATTGGTGAGAGTTCTTTAAAAAAAAAAATCCACAATTTATTCGAAGTATTTAGATAATTTAAGGAAAAAGCTGAAACTCAAACGTAATCAATTCCCTTAAATAATCTTTTATTCATTAAAAAGAATCACCTGGATTGCATTCACCAATGTTCCCTTAGCTCCTGAAAGAATCATCAGCTGCAAGGCATTTCTGGGAAATGAATACAACAATCCAGAAGGAATGCAAGCACTGAAACAAACTATGAAAAGTTTTCTCTAAGATTTTTCTCAAAATCAAAGAATCAAAATCAAACGATTAGCACATTGAAAAAATTATTTAAACGAGAAAATACGAAAAATTACAAAAAGTTTTATTAAAAAGAATCAGTTACGAAAAATAAAATCAGATTAACTTATTAATTTTTTGCGTGAATTTACTAAGTTTTTCCTTCATTTTATAATCCAGTAACTGAACACTTTCGGTATCACCATGGGGATTACAAAATATACTCGCTAAAAGTTGCTTTATTTCAAATTCAGATGCATTCTCATCCAAATTAAAACAATCTTTAACCACTTCATTACCTGAAAATTCAAAAGTGTACATAATATTCGCTTTTTCATTCCTTCTTTTTCATTCCTATAAGGTAAATGATAAAGCATGATATGACGCATAAATTTTGGAAGGGAAAAAAAAATAAAATCGGATAATTCAACAACAATGAAATATCTACCGCACTTGCGCAAATCCTTTATTATTTTTCTCCTTTTTTTATCAGCATCTTTTCTAATAAGTATATCTGCTACGCCTAGCGTGAAACCATTCAACTGAAAATAATCAAAAAGGTAAAGTGAAACTAAAGCAATACGAATCAAAAATATAATTGAAGCTAAAAAAATAAAACCTGCAAGTATGTCGTGAATAAACGAGAAAAACAACTCAATATATTCATTGCGATTTTGTGCCCATATAATTCACAGCAACAATGTATTAAACCGTGCTGTGTGCTCCCATAATGTTGCTTATCCAGAACACCAACTAAGAGTTCTGCTTGTCTAAATAAAAATATAATAAATTTCCAAAGGATAAATGTGATAGTCTAGCATTTCTCGCAGCTTATTCCAAATGTGCAAAAACTTACAATAGTCTTTAAAAGCCTTATTTTGAGAGGGTTGAGGTTAGAAAACTCTAGAAAGCAATTTCGCCATGGTTATAAGTTAGTGGAAAAAGTGGCATTTCGGTGACGGAGGAGAATACAGAGGGAAGTGGATGATGCCCGAGGGAAACAACGATTCGACGGGATATAAAAGGATCACAACAATTTTTAAGTAAATATTAAAAGATGACGAAAATAATTTAGAAACAGTTCGTTTTTAGGTTCTCTGGGGGGATTTCACTTCTCTCAATACTGATTCCTCCAAATTACAAAGAATTGTATGAACTGTATGCAAAGATGGTCAATGTATTTACTATATGGGTAGTAAATATATCGGGAACCATAGTGTTGAAAAAAAATAATTGTGGGAAATTGAAGAGTAAGAAAGTAATATAACAGAAAATAGTGTCGAAGAAGTTTTAAGGCAATATAAGGTATTTAAGGTATTTTCAGAAGTAAAAAGGTATGCATCATAAGGAAGTCTATAGAGATTATTTTCGTATAATAATAAATAACACAAATTAACAAATTTCTGAATATTTTACCACAACTATCACTCTTACTTTAATAAAACAAAACAAAAATCCTGAATATTGAAAGATTTTTTATTACAATAACAAGATAACAAAGCTTTAGCAGGATTCGATTTTGCAATTCCCCACACCTACATATGAAATTAAAAAATTAAACAACTGAAATAGGCTAGCACAACATGAGAAATGATAACAAATTAAAAAAAAGAAAAAATAAAGAATATTTGAAAAATCTACTAATAAATCATCGAAATTTATATTCTCAATTTAAGCGATTTGAATATCAGTATTTTGATGGAAATAAACGAATTACATACCTGAATACAACTTGGGATTCACTCATATTTAGTTCAGGCAAGCGATAGCCTTCAACTTGCCAACATTTAAGGGGAATCTTAGCCGCACTAGTTAAATTTATCAATGGTTTATCAGCTGGTATATTATTTAGTAATATACCAGTAATTATCTGAAAACAATACAAAATGAAAAAGCTTAAAAATTCACAAGCAGAAAGATCTAATGAAAAAAATGAAAAAAAATCAAAAAACTTCGGTTCACTCAATAAAGACCGATTTTAAATGACCTGTTTCCCACTCCACAACATCCGGGGTTTGATTATACATGGATGTGGCATAATCAAACGTTTATCTGTTTTTGAAAAGGCTGACAATAAAAGATGCATAAAATCTTCTTTCGTAAAAAACCGACCACGCACTGATAATAATACACCAGATATAATATGATCTTGAATTAATCCAAGCAGAGGAGTACCATCCTTGGGAACGAGAAAATTGGAACCGACATTGGCTTAAAAATTTCTAATGAAAATAAAAAAAGCTGGATTGAATCATTACTCACCATAATCTAAGTAAGGAAATGTATTTCTTCTTATTCTACTTTCCCATTAAATGTCAATACAAAATAAAAATTTTAAGCATATCAGTACAAATGCTATTAAATGGGCTATTAAATTTATAAAAATAGACAATCAAAAACCAAAAAAAGGAATTAAAACATACCGATTTCAGCAATTTCTGCTTGAGCTATTCGATCCTGCACAAAATGCCCATTCATTTCATCACCATCGAAATCAGCGTTATATGATTTACAAGGAGCATAATTGAGCCTAAGAACGCGCTGACCTTTAAGTACACGCACTTTATGCCCCATGATTGATGGCTTATGTAATGAAGGCTGACGATTCATCAACATAAAGTCATTATTAGTTAAATGTCTGAAAACCTAAAACATTTATTGAATAAACAGCATAGACAATACCATTTTTTCTTTTATTCATTTGATTTGAAAGAAATTTTCATCGCGACCCAAATAAATTCAAATTCTAGATCTGAGATATTTATCGAAATTTTAAAAAAAAGATAAGAAATAGTTTTTATGATTTAAAGAGCTGTTTAATTCTTATAATTCAATGATTCAAAATCATTTTTATAACTTTTATATTGTATTTCATTATATTTATATTATATTTATTATTATAATATTATTATAATAATTTTTATTATATTTTTACTTAAAGTAGCCATCAAATTGAATATGAATTCTGCGTAACCATTGTAGATCACCTATATCTTTTCCCTGAGTGTTTTTAATGCAAAAATTCTTGTCATCAAATTCTCTTTATTGTTTAAAATTTCCTTTTATTTTACTCCTAAACCAGTGGATGTGATACATGTGATAACTAGATGAACTGGATCAAATGGTAGACAGTTCTATGTGCATAAAACTGGCCATTTGTGAAGAAAGTATTTATTTCTATTCGTTTCTGCCTACTCAAACTTATTTAATCTTATGTAATTGTGTCAATTTTTACTTTTTATATTTATATATTATAATATAAATACTGACACATCTCGCTATTTTCTTCTTCTTCTCACAGCCCTCACTAATACTGATTAGGTTGGATCTACTGGTTACAAAGATAAGATATTTCCTAACAGAGTGGTCTGTGCCACATACTGCTGGTCTGAACATACGTTCAAAATCATTCCTGAACGTATTAGTCCAGGTCTTGATTGGCCCACCTCGCTTGTGATGCCACCCATCACAGCGTTTAGCACGTGAAGAAATATGTTGTGGTGGGAGACGAAGAATATGCCCGAACCAATGTTAATGCAGGTGGTATTAATTCGAAAATGGATATATATCTTGCAACATGGAAAGCTTGATGTCAAAATAAAGGAGATATAGTCTAGATATGGACTAATTATACAAGTGGCAGAAAAAATAGTGATTTCAGATAATACATTCAGAAATAGAAACGGACCAGAATTTAAAAAAAACTCTAATTAAAACTACAGAAACAAATAATGCACCTGTGTTGGATACGGAAGACGAGAAGAATCAGCAGGCTGCAATCGCTTAGCATCACCATACCTCTCATCTGTCTTTTCCTTTATCAACAAATGCTTTGGTGCACCGGATCGTTGTATATAATTTGCGCTAAAAATTACATATTGAATACTTCAAATGCAATAATATAAAACAAAATATAAAAAAAAAGATAAATGTAAAAATCAAATTAAAATTGGAACTGAAAAAAACCAAAAATATGAACTGTTTTTCTATTTAAAATGATGAAATGGTAAACCACTAACCCAGGATATTTGTCTGGCCCATTTTTAATCATTTTCCGCAATTGAATTAAATTATATGCATTAGAGAATTCGGTGAATGTGAGCTTTTTGGCAAATAACTCAGGAATACCAATTTCATCAACGTCAAGATATGGATCAGGAGTAATCACAGAACGGCATGCAAAATTTACTCGCTTTCCCATCATGTTCATTCGAAATAAACCCTGTTTTAATTCTTTAATATAATAATTCTAAGATTCTAAGAATTCTAAGAACTCAGAGAAAAAAAAAATAGTAATAAAAATAATGAACCAAACGTGTGCAAAATTTAACCTCTTTTTTTTCTAAAATTTGCTTGAGACCAGGAAGTTGCCGAGGTTCATTAGTTCTGTCTAAATTCTGATCAAATATAGCATTCATTCGTTCTTGTAAAGCAAGATAGGCATAATGCATTTTAGCATGAACAGTCTTTCCAAGAATTTTGCTAGATATCATTTCCTCAAAAACATCCATTTATGAATATTTTTTCCACAATATCTTTTAAATAATATTTAAAATACTTGATTAATGTTTAGCAGAACTATGAAAAGAAATAAATTAACTAATTCATTGGCTGGTCGTGCGCCAGATATGATCATTTTAATTGCGACAACTTTTTCATTAGCTTCCAACAACCGCTGAAAGTTTATTGTTTGTGGATGTTCCATTACTGTACCTTTAAAATACGCCATTGGTCGAAATTTTGATGGAGGGACTAATATTACATCAGAAAATAGTATATCCACTGGATGTTCATTAGTAGCCTATAAAATTAAAAATTAGAATATGGAATACAATAAAATACCATAAATGCAAGAAAAATATTGCTTTACTGCCTTAAAAAAAATGGAACCACAAAAATTCTAGTAAAATTATGGAAAAAACAAATTTCAAATGATAAATACGTAAGAGAAACATACATCACTATCGTTGAACAATGGAAAAACTTTTTTTAAAAATTTCCCATCGTATTTCCATAAAATTCTGAAATGCTCTTGAACTTCTAATGCTCTCCATGCTAATTTATCGCATAAACCATCTGATACAGATTGCAATTGCAGCTTTAAAGCTTCTTCGACTGAAGTTACTTGAGAAATGTGAGCTAATTTTTCGCAATCTGATTCCAAAAACTTTTTTTTTTCAGGAACTTCGGCTGAAATAGATTTTTAAAAAACACCACTTTCATCTATAAAAAAGCTTTTCTTTGATTGTTACTTTTTGAGCAGTTAACAGAATGAACAGATTGAGCAGAATGAAAAAGTTAAACAAAATTTATACTTTAAAAAGCAAATAAAAATAAAATGAAATAAAATTTACCATTTTTCACATTTTCTTCTTCAAAATTATCGGAGGAAATTTTTGGTTGCGAACTGATTTTTTCCTTTACACCAATGGCATTGAAATCAAGAATAAACGCACGATAGCCATCGTTTCGAATTACTCCATTGTATTTCAAACAAAACTTACATCGTTGACGATGTTTGAACTGAAAATGTTGTAGCAAACATCATACAAAAGAAGTCAATTTTCTGAAAATAAATAAAGTTTACCAGATTTTCCTTGCAGAAATTCACAATAAGATTTCGTTTCATTTCCACTGCATTTTTAACAGGATGATTAGATGAATTTAAAGATTTTGAATAGTATTTCAAGTTAAATTCTTTTAAAAAAGCCTTCACTTCTCTGCGGACATCAATATTTTCATTTCGCTGTTCATAATCGCCTAAAACTTTACGTTTATGTGAATAATATTTCGAATTTATAAGAAAAAGAAAAAAAAACATAGCAGAGATTTAATAATATAAATATAAAAGCAAAACAAGAGAATTAAAAAAAAATGGATCCAATAATTTGGTCAAGTAAAATAAAAACGGACCACTGTCAAGGAAGCGATTCCTAATAAAAACTCCTAAGTCCTCAACAATCGAAGCCATTCCTAATTCAATAGCACGTAACTGTGCAAGAAGCAATTTTGCTGGTAAACTATTTGAGTCACAAGTTAATCTATGGCATCGAACACATGTACCTTTCAAAATCTGAAAAAAATAGGATAGAATATTTCACATCAAAACTGTAAAAATTCATAGATCAGTGGGATTTAAAAACATGGTTGTAAAATCAAAAAAAAACATAAAATTATAAAATAAAATTATATAATTATAAATTATATAAAATTACCGAATAAGTGAAATTGAAAAATAAAGGATTAAAAACAGGAAGATGCAGCTGTATATGACCAAGATGACCAGGACAATGCAGTCCAGAAAGATGGCATGTTTCACACTCGTCATAAACTTCTCTCGGCCCAAGGCGAGGATCATATAGGCCATCACGAATTGGATATCCAATCTAAAAATTTGCTTCCTCAAATATCCTTTAAAGGATATTACAAAGGATATCCTTTTGAATAAAATTAGAAAATGAATTCCTTATTATTTGCTATGTCAATAATCGTAAATAATAGTAGATAAAAATAATAATAGATGAATAATTTAATATAGCAATAATGAATAATCAATTAAAATCAACTCGGAATTCGGAAACGCGAGCAACAACTTATTAACCTCTATTCGCATTTATTTGCAAAAAAATGGAAAAAATGGAAAACGAAAAAAAAAAATGTAGCAAGCTTATTCAATAAAGAATAATGATGGCGACTCACTCGTACTTCTATCGCCAAGGGACTCCCTGGCATAGGACTTCGTCTTATTTTGTCTTGTCTTGTCTTGCATATTTATTTGTCAAGGCCAGCCGATCGAGTCCAATGAATAATGGCTCATTAAAAAAAAAAATGTTAAAATAAAGGAAATGAAGGAAAATTTGCCACCTTATCGAAAGTTTGAGTCTGTGAAATTCGTAAAACGCTTAATTTCTTTATTTCGTTTGATGAATAACAGCGGAATTTCATTGAATCGATACCCATATAGGGTTCATTACCTTTTCGAAAATTGAAACTATCAAACATATCGCGACAACCTAAATTTAATTAATTTATCATCAACTAACAGTGTATGTAAACATAAAAATGGTATTAAATGGCCCATTAGTTTATTGCTTTTATTTTGGAGCGTCCATGTTAAGAAACCATACACGCGAGGAATGTGACTAAATTTCGAAAATTCGCACCATCTTTCTCACTCTTTTTTTTTTACTATTCCGTTGGTCCTCGCTCATAGAGGTTAACAGAGATCAAAAAAGCGAGTCTAACCAGAAATGCCAATAAAAAATCTTCGAAAATAAAAATTATCATTCGAGAAATCATTAAAACGAGAAAAATTCTTAAATTCTTTCATATTTTAAATCTAAATTCTAAATTTCTCCGACTGTGGCGTTAATTTCAGGTGTGTTACAGCGTTGGATAGAAAAGACCCGTAAATATCGCATGGCATTCAAGCGACGGGAAACAAACGAACAATCTTCTACCCACCTAAAATCCCCCAAATCCATTTTCTAAATCCATCATCTTCACATCTTTTTTTCCCAATAATTTTTATTCGAAAATTGGCTATTGGCCAGTTCTGACAGTCGTTTAAATAGTATATTCGACTCTTGCAACGATAAATCCTTTGATTCTTGATTTTTGATGTTTTCCAACAGTTTACGATTAGCATTCAGATTTGTCTGAAGGTTCTTTGGTTTCGGTTTCCGTACCGTATTTGACGTGTCGGCGGAAGTTTCAGTTTTTTATTTCTCCACGGATTATAAATTATCTCCTTTTTTCCCTATCAGAAGTTTGGAAGACGGATGGAATACATGGAATCTTGTTTAAATAAAGGAATTCAGAGACGTGGAGGATTTGTGGAGGAACGTGATAAATCTGTGAATTCAGTGAATGGTCGCACCCGAGATTCAGTGTTCAGTCTAATTTATTGTCCATTATCGTTTTTTATCCTTTGGACGACGACTGGCGATGCATCTGTGATTCTATTATTTAGTGATTAAATAGTCCTCAAATGGTGTTTATTATGGTGCCTTAAAACCAGTGGATTAATATAAGTTGAAAATTTGAAGTGAGCCTGGCAAATAAAAGGATAGCGATGTTCTTCGACGGAGAGTACTGTTCTAAATCCATTAAGGAAGTTCAGACAAAGGCCAAGGCCAATCGACTATTGGCTATTCATACTTTTTGCCATAAGTCTACAGAATTTTAGAATGCTTACAGATGTTTGAGCTCAAACGACCGAAATCCTTTTCGAATATATCGTATGAATATATCGTTTGATTCTTTTCCTGTCTTGTCTTCCTAATTTTGGGTAGTACTGAAGCCTAGTAAAAAGACGGTAGCATTAAAATATTTCTAATAACTCAAGCAGTTACGATTTCTGAAAGGGCTGAATCGGCTCAGAATATTTGTAGTCCTATCAGATCGGATTCAAAAGGAAAGTCTTAGTCTTAGTCAATGTATGTTCTTACATCATGGATAAAGGTATTTTATGTGGAAATTTCACTTTCTTGTGGAATTTCGTGGAAATTCTTGGTTTTCATCGGTTTTTGCTACTTTGGCGTTGGCCCATTTCCACTTCTTTTTTAGATTTCGCCTGTTGAGATTTCATATCTTTCATTATGCCATTCATTATGTCGACATCATTGGATTATTATCGTTTTGTAATTTTTATGCTTTATTGGCCCAACTTTTCTTTTTGCTTCATTTTTTTATATTGAATCTTTGAATCTTTTTTCCTCATCTTTCCTCCTTTTTCATTCTCTTCTTTGATCCTTGATTGATCGGTAATTAATTTGTTGTCAGCACTTAACTGATGATTCGAATCCATTTTCTATTTTTACGACTCCAATGATTGTTTTTTAGATTTCGCCATTTCGTAAAATAAATGGTACTACATCGATAAATTATATACGTACACTGTTACTGAAATGAATGGGAACTAGCAGAATTGAATGCAATTGTTTAAGATAGCAAAATTTATTTGAAGAAAATCATCCAGTATTTAGCACATATTTATATTTATTATAAATATTGTAATTATTCACTGAAATATTTTAAAATTAAAATTTTTAAAGGAGCGGTTTAATTAATTTTAATTAATTTCAGGTGTTATATGAGGATGGAGAGGCATATGAAAATGAAAACGTCTTTCATCTTAATAGTTGTTGAAATTAGTCGAAGCAACTTTTGGTACCAATTGTGCTATTGTATAAGAAATTTAATATTATAATATAATTAAATATTAAATTAAAAAAATTAATTATTTTAGTTTTATTTTTGGATTTTTGTCTATTATAAATATTTTTTGTACTTATTTTTATTCAACATTTATTATAATTTTCTAATTTGCTTTTTTTTGTTTAGTGAAGACATTCGCGTTCTTCAACAGCAAACGTTGATTCAAGGTTTAATACACCGATATCAATCCATTGTTCAGCGGTTGGTTCACCGTTATGAATAAATTTTTTCGGTATTCTCAGTGTTATTTTCTTTTGGCATGGCTGAAAAATTTTTCATTTTATTATATTATTATTTAATTCAATTAATTTTATAAATTTAAAATTTATAAATGCTTTCAAAAATCATATCAGGAAGATAATGTGACACATTAACTTTAAGGAGACTAATTGATAATGATAAAAGAGAGATTTTTGGCAACGTATTAAAAAAAAAATCTGAATTTTAGCACAGTTAAGGAAAAAGGAGGCGATTTGAAGAGATTTTCAACAAAAAATTTTGGAGAATATCAAAGGAAGTTTTGATCTGAGATTTTTTCATAGCTCACATAATAAATAAATAAATAAATGAACTGCGAAACTGCATAAACTGCGAAGAAATGTTATAAATCAGGTTTCTGTCAAGTTTTTTTTATCTATGTTAATGATAAAATTTGTATTCTTTTTTTTAAACGATTTTCTAATAATAATTATTTTGAATCGTTTTTGATCTACGAGTGCCCGTCATTTCTGGTTACGTTTGCTCTTGTAACTTATGAGATCAGAAAAATTTAGCAAGGGAATAACTTGGCAATAAGAGTATGAGTACAGCTGAGTAATTGCCAGTACTACCTGAATTTTTAAAAGATAAATTTTGAAGTAAAGTAAATCCTCAATATAGCGTTCTGAAATGAGCTACAATGAGCTTTTTTATCTATAACTACAGTGAAATTCTTTTTTTACCAGAGGTTCTAAGTTTATTCGCTTATTATTCAATTATAATATTTAAAAAATAACCGTAAGGCCATCTTGACAGTCGTGCCAAATATATAAAACGGGATCAATTGGAGTTAATTCGCGCGTATATCCATTCAGCTCGAAACTTCCATCATTTTCAATAATTTTCTCATCAAGTGTATCATCAGGATCTATGCCTGAGAAAAAGTAATTTAGTTTTTCTAATTTTATAAAATATTTGATAATTAATAAAATATTTTAGAAAAACAGCGTTAGGCTAAATTTAATAAGCATATATATTTACCATAGTCAATATCAACAATTCGAACTTTAGTATTGTTAGCAGGTCGAGGACCACACATTAATCGGCCTTTAACGGCAACACCTTGTTTTCTTAACGCATATGTTTCAATAATGCAAATTAATGCAATAAGCAAGAAGCAGTAATTCATCCTGCAAAATCTTTATTTTATTTTAGTCTAAGCTTATCCAAGCGTTCCTTCCGGCTCATATTGCATTTCTATTTCCAGGTTTCTGGTGGAATTTGTATAGTCCAATAAAGAACGAGTGAAGTAAGCCCTAATGATAATGGTGAGCGTTCTTGAAAAAAATTCTAAGCATAAGATACTTTAATTTAGAAAAAAATCTTCCAAATAATTATTTAAAATTGATTTTTGAAGGAATTTGTTGAGAAAGCAACTCAGAGATTTTCAATTGCTGTCGGTTCATCCTCTCGGAGCTAGTGAACCTGGAAAAGTCGATCGAAGATGATCAACAACGCAAGACGAATTTCGAGCAGATATGCATCCAAAAATTTTTCTCCCTCATTCTATGAATTTAGAATTTTTTTTTGAAGCTAAATGTATTTAACATCTTAAAAATTTCATTATTCACATAATATGTAAAATTTTCAGAAAATTCTATTGAGGAAGAGATTTTCCTTTTTTAGACGATCGATGCGAGAAAAAAGAGAATTGGGAAAAAAGCATTCAGCACTTAATTTTTCAGCGAATATTATAAATTGAAAATTTTTTTTTATTAAAAAAAAAAATTGTCATTACTAAACGATATTTTCAAATGATGCAATTAAATAGGTAAGGATGTTGCACAAATTGCCTCATTCGACAGTTTATTTCAGTAATTAATGGTGGAAATAAAAAAACTCTGCGTTACTTAATTTAAATAAATATTGAAATATTTTTGAAAAAAAAAATATTTCAATAAATAAATAAATATTTATATTCATATTTAATATTTATAATATTTATATTTAATATAAATAAATATTTCAATATTCCAATAAAATTAAATAAAATCTTATTAAAAAAAAAAAAATTAGAAAAAATTTATTAAAAAAATTTTTAATAAATAAATGAATAAAGTAAATAAGTAAGAAAGTTAACTGAAAGAATGAAATGAAGATTAAACGCGAAACAGCTGCACAACAATAAAGATTTATCAGCGATTCTCGTAAGAAAAAATATTTTAATATATTTTAAAGTTTAGTAAAATTAATTTGTGCAAAATAAAAATGAAAATGTTTTCTGCTTGCTTAATTCGTTTTCTTTTTCTCAAATTTACTTCTGAAGAAAATTTTTACGTTTTCATCAATTCGCTATTCGTTGAGATTTGTTTTTTTTTTATCAAAGAATTCGAAATAATTATAAAAATAATTTTTTTTTAATAATAATAATTTTATTAATTTTATCAAAATAATAATTTTATTAAATTTTTTTGCAATAAATAAAAATTTCACTAAATTCGTCCTTGAGCGATGTTTCAGTTCGATTCTTTCGCCGATTCATTATGCATCATTTATAATTGATAAACAAATGGGTTGAAATTTTCACCTATGAAATTAGTTAGGTAAGAATCGGTACCGAAAGCAATATAGGATGGCTGAGTGGGTTGTTGCCCGATTCGGAGCGCCGATGCTGAGGTTTTATTCCTCGTAGGAGTAAATCTGGGTGATGCTAGCGACTCATGTGTATTTCTATTGCCAAGCGACTCTCCCTCGCATATTTGCCTAGTGCGACAGCAGAACGAGTTCAATCAGTAATGATGAGGACTTTAAAAAAAAAAAATTATAAATAATTATAAAATAAAAATAAAATTAATAAAATAAAAATTTTTATGATATTTAAATTTTATATTGGCTAAATTTTAAGTTAAAATACGCCTATAGTTATTTGGCTAAACGAGAAACTTTTCCTCATCTATTATCCTCATTTTTGCTTCAATATGAAATTGTTGATGAACGAACAATTGAAATAATATTAAAAATATAAAATAAAATTAAAAATTAAGAATAATTTTTAATTTTTTAAAAATAATACATTTTATATATTTTATAATATATATTTTAAAATTATTGAATATTTTAAAAATACGCGAATTAAAACCACAAATTAGTGATCCCAAAAATTTAAGGCTTATTTTTTATTATTTATTTTATTATTTATAATTGTTTTATAATTTACTTATTATTATTTAATATTTATTATTAATTAATTATTTGTTATTTTATTAAACGTATAAATTTTTTTATTATATTTATTATTTATTTATCATTTATTATTTATCATAGGTTTATGGCTTTGAGATGCATTTTTTTGATTAAAAATTATTAAAATGCCAAGAAAAATAATAAAAAATTTGCGCTACCAAAAACGTTATCACAATAATAAATAGCTATTATTCACCCCAAGGATCCAATCGTTATCAACCAACTTATCGAATTTTTTTGTATCATTCATTAAATTTATTTTGGAGAAATATGAAACAATTAATCATAATTCTTATCATCACAACAATGGTGGTAGCCGAACGTTCAAAATATTTAAATGCAATTTCAACACGATCAACTGCAGCTAAAGGCAATTTTCTATGTGGCAAAGAGGCAGCTGCGAATGTGAAAGTTCAACTTTACAGTAAAGAAGGCGATGATGGTAAATATTTTATAGATATTTGTTTCGTGATAAGGAAAATTATCATATTTTTACTTTAATAATCATTATCATTCTAAAATTTTTTACCACTCCAACCAATATCAACCAATTTTTTTTTCGTTATTACGGCTTATCACTTCTTATCACCAGAAATCATACACACACTTCCAGGTTAAGAACAACTGATCTAAACAAATATCTATCTTAAAGATTTATCCTTTTAGTTAAAATCAATAAATTTTAAATAACTAGGAATTTATCAAAATCATATTTTATTTGTTGTAATGCGATATGTACTAATGAACATTTTCGTTATCACAAAATTTCCTGTTCATTAATTTAGATAATATTCTTGCGACAACGACGTCAACACTGAACGGTGATTTTAAAATAGAAGGTAATACGGCAGGAAAATCGGATCAAATCCTCGAGCCAATGCTTAAAATCCATCATACTTGCAATGAAACTGAAAAGGAACTTAAAAAGGTATTTTGATAAAGAATATTGTACGATATCCATATTCTTCCGCAAGAGATCAGCGAAATTGGTCCTATGTGGTAGCAGCATCATGCACGATTATTGATCACAAATCATGAGAACAACTTCTTTTACTACCAATAATTTCAAAATTTAATAGCCCTTTTCAGAAAAAGGAACGAGTGGTTACTTTGAGATATCCGAAAGATTACGTCACAATGGGCCAAATACCTCGGCAAACATATGATATAGGAACACTGAATCTACAGGTTCTTTTATAATTTAATAAATTATAAAAAAATCCATTTCTTTTTTTCTTTTTCCCCTAACAACTCGTACAGTACCATTACCCATTATAGTACTTTTTTTCTTTCGACTAGTAAATTTTGCTCAAATGGCACCAATTCGTTAAAATGCGGGAAATATGGAAAATATTCTATATGAAAATATTTATACGTAGATCGGCAGCATCATCTAAATTTCACTTTTAATAATAGGCTTACTAATGTTAAAAGACCCACAAAACCGTGCTCATGGTGCACGGTGCATAAGACCCAACTATTTCTCGAGTTCTTAATGGAACCATAGCACAAAAAAATGGATCCCTTAGTAACCCTATTTATTGAAAGCTTTATAAAATAATATAATTTGTGAATTAATTAATGTAAGCTATCGTTCAATGACCCCTCAGCGTTGCATTAATTTTTTTCACTCCAATATATAGAATTGGACAAATGTCGAAAATAAAATAAAATAAAATAAATCTTCTCGACAATAAAATTTAGCTTATTTACAGGTAATTTATCCGGGCGAAAAAATTGAAAAAGAAGATAACGAAAAATAAATTTCTCATTTTTTTAATTGTAAGAAAAAAATTCGATAAACAATAAAATTGTTTAGATATTATAAATAATATAAATATTATAAATAATAAAAATATTAGAAGTTTTTTTTTTTTAAATGAATTATTTCCATATAATTTTATCGAAATCAAATAACAACCTTATTCTAATAAATTCGTTTATTTCATCAAATCTCTAATATCGTTATTCTATTATAAATAAAACAAATGTCAAAGGTCAAGGTCACGAACATATAAAAAATTCGTTAGACTTCATTAGGTTACGCTATAAAATATTTTAATATAAATTTCTTTTTCGAGCCAAAAAGCTAGTTTCAGAAGGCGCTTGTATAATTTACATTTTCTCCAAGAGCACACAGAAACCATTTCTCGTTTTGCTGCCACCATTAACCAGCGAACAGTTGGAGTTTAATAGTTGCAATTCTTGAGTTGGTCAAAAACAAAGATTCAAATTGTTTCAAATTCTTCCAATATCATTTAATGAACCATTATCATTATTATCAATGAATTATCTGTCCTATTATCATCGAATACATAGAAATTTATTATAGGATTTGAATGAAAAAAAGGAATATCAAATAAAATTCATGAAAGATGATTGCAAAAAATATGAGATCATTAATGAAAATAATCGTAATTAAAATGAAATATTGCAAGAGTATTTAATGATATCGATAACGTTAAAATAATATTTATGATAAAAATATTAAAAATAATTCAGCAACAACTTAAAAATAAAGATTTCAGAAGAGATCTTATAAAATATACGAAAAAGCAAAGCTCATATCATTGTACCAAATTAATTAGTTAGAATTAACAACCCAGTGAGAATAAATATTATGCTATAAAAGAAGAGAAGATAAAGAAAAGTACTAATACTATACGATGCGTTTAGAACTGAAATTTCTGTACCACCAGCGTGTACCAGTGATCAGGTTATTACCACTATAACCTTGCATGGTATAAATTTATTTATTGAATCCAGTTTGGCTGATCGCATAGTACAATAATATAACGAAAAACAAGAAAGGAAAGATTACATTCAAAATAAGTGTGAAATAAGTGTATGTGATGTGTTTTAAATAAGGCAGTGTTTTCTCGAAAAAGTAGCAATTATGAAAAAAAGCAGTGCATAAACATTTTTCTATACTTTTCTATACTTTTGTACGAGAATTTCCAGGATATAAATATAAATAATTAATAACAAAATTTTAAAGCCTTAAAATATGAGCTGATCAATTTAACGACTAATTACTTATTAACGACAAAAATTATTATAAAAAAACTAGAAAATAGTAAATAAGTGGAAATTTTATAAAAGAAAAAAGATCGGCAGGCAATTTCTACCTTCATCGACAATCGAAATAATTTAACCTATAAGTTAAAACTTATACTCTTCAATACTCTTTTAAATTGAAAATGAGAATTTAAAAGGATAAATATAAAATATTAAATAAATCAGAACAACCAGGACAAAAGCATTTATTAAAATCTACTCATCTTATAATGGAAAATGAATTGTTAAATATATTATTAGTTGTTAGATATTATTAAAATCCTGTGGGACTTTCCCACCCAAAAAGACAAATAAATACTTGCCAATCAACTGTCATGGTAATAGGTAAATAGCAAATCAATTGAAAAGAAGGAATATATGAGAAATATCGAGGGGTGAAAGAGGAACCAGAGATGTAGAAAGTAAAGGACAAAGTAATTTCAGTGACAACTGGAACACTTGGTTGTGACCATCTAAGCCAGAAAAGTGGCTTCAGATTCCAGGAACAATATCAGAGATCTCCATCCAGAAGAGAGCATTGCTAAGATATACTGTGCAAAACCCTACTACAGAACCCTCAATCTCCCAGGCCTCTGGTAAAGGATTCTGGGTTAAGGATAATCATATCACACATAGGAGAATGAGAAAAAGGTTTTTTAAAGTCATTATTGATAAAAAATTAAGATACAAAAAACACTAGCACAAACCTCATGAACTATAAAATACCAGTTAGACAGCAATATGCTCACTTGCCGAACGCGCATGCGTGTTTACAACCAGCCGTGGTGTTGATTTAAAACCATTGTGTGGATCGATGAGAAGCATAGTGCTACACTGTAAAAAAAAAAGTCATTCCAAGAAATATTGAAGTTAAAAACAAATCCATTTCTGAAAAAAAAAAGAAAATAAACATAAACATAAACATTTTCAGCGCCCAACGTTCCCGCGTTACTATCGTCAGAATCGTTGCGTCTATGAGTCTGCATTTCTTGAACGTTTCGCTTAATTGTATGTTGCTTCAGTGGTGGTGGAACTGCTAATCGATTACTTCCATCTACTGGTATTACCTGAAATTTGCTATTGGATTACAAAAATAATTCATCAGTAAAATAATAAATGAACAATGAAATAATGGAAACAACGGAAGCTATCTTAATAAAATTAAAAAATACCTCGCAAGGTGGACCAATGAGAGATAAGAGCACAGGTAATAAAATTAAGCCATTAATAACGCCAATAAGAATCAGTGCTGACATCACAACGAAAAAATACTTAAAAACGAATTCAAACTCCGAGAAGGCAAGCATAAAAATGCCTAATAAAGTCGATGAAGCGCCATGTATTACTGGAACAAATACGCGATCAATACAAGCGCACATGCGTTGATCACGCGTACCCAAAGATGTTAAAAAGCAGAACACCACATGAGCCGTAAATTCCACACCTAAAAATTGAAGTTCCATCTCGAGTTTCGACGAAATTATGAATATAATCATAGTCATCGTAATATGGACTGAATCATGTTAATGCAAATTAAGTAATTATAATAATTAGTTATAAATTTACCGATTCCAACAGCAGTAATTACGGTAACCGCAGATATAGGATTCATTTTTATCCCAGCTAAACCAAGGAAACCTGCCAATTCAACAGTCATCATGATCAATATAATCATGACAATACCTGCAAAAATATATATTCATCAAGAATGAAACGAGAAAAAACATTTCCGAAATAATAATAAAAAGAAAAATTAAAAAGGGTCTAAAAACCTGCTGCCCATGGATTAAATAAAATGATGGATATAATAAAGAAAACTGCAAGTGCAATTATACAAATTGACCGCAATAAATATGAGCTGAGATAAAGATATTGTTCCCAAAAAATAAATGCAACGCCTGATGGGAAGTTAGGCAACCCGTCTTTTGAGAATTCATCACAGATTGCACGGATATCCTGAAATTAAAAAGAATATAAGAGTCGTGATGAAGATCATCTAAAGAATATAAGAGTCGTGATGAAGATCAAAAAAAAGGAATCAAAACCTTAATCATATCGACTATTATTGGTGTATTAGTTAGTCCTGTTAAATAAAACGGTATTTGACTATATGCAAGAGGCATTGCAGGAGGTACGAAATGAGAATAAGTCAAGAATGAATGGCTGAAAAAATTATTTTCAGAGACGTCTATAAAGTTTTCATTTTCACTTCCAATTCATTCTCTTATTCAATAATAAAACGAAATTACGATGATGGATTGTTAATGGCCTTGAGCTAAACTGTCGCTTCACCTTTAAAAAAATCATGAAAATTTAAGGGAGAAAAAATATAAACCTTGGTGGAACGGGGAAGAAAGAAGCTTGAGATATATGATACATCATTTTATCAGCGTTGTACCATCCCGTCAAATAATTATAAAAACCATCAACATTGATCGTATCACTTTCGTCAATTAAACGAATTTTTCCTAACTGAAAAAAAATAAAGGAGCAAAATATAATTATAATAAGCTCATCATGGTCACTTTAAAAAATCTAATGTAGTACAAGACATGCCCTTTCACTGCAGTTGTATTTGTCTCCATAACTACAGATAAGGGATATAGCAATTTTGATATCTTGTGGAACATGCTTCATAGAATCGGTGTAATTCGTCGCTGTTATCATTTCGGTTAAATTAATCTGAAAATTTTAGAACAACTACAGTCCTTGAAGAAATTCCTTTTAAAGCAAAAACAAAATACCTGTTTCTTAACAATAGCTTCATCAAATTTTATTTGTATTTCTTTCAGCCAATCGCGCATGAGGCCGAGCCAATATTTCTCACTTGGCTCCAAACCATTTCCTTTCACAACAAATTTTGATTTAGCTAAAGTCAATTATAATTTATTAATTTAATATTTAACTTTCATACTTTTAAAATAAAGCAAGTAGCTAAAGATATTTTATAAAGAAAAATCAAAAAATGAAAAAAAAAATGAAAATGGAAAAAATTACCAATACTTCGTCGATAACTCTCAATTTTATGTTGTTCATGTGCATAGTCAATATTAGGTCCCCTCAATATGGCAAACATAGGATAAAAACTGAAATAACGATCACGAGCTCTTATGAATGCAACAGGAGCAGTATTTTCGGGAAGAACATCACTGAGTTCGAGTCCATAAGATGCTTGATGAATTCCGAATATAGCGCTAATAAATAATGCTATGCATGTTAAGAGAATAACTGCCTGCAAAAATCGTTGATTCTCAAAATATTATGACAACGATAAAGCAAAAGAAATTGAGTTATGAAATTCAATTTTAAAAAAGTTGTAGGAAAAAAATAACCTTCGTAAATTTCTGCCTCAAGAAAGGAATGTAATAATTATGAAGAAAAAAAGATAATGTGCATGGTTTGAGATCAATATCACCTTCTTTATCACTTTTAGAACAGAGATTATAATAGGCTAGACTATTATCACCAACACCAATTGTTCGTTTCTCCTAAATTTCTTTGATTAATCCTTTTTAAATAAGTTGCAATAATGAATTACGTTCAAAAATGATTAAAATTACTTGTAACTGGGGCTTTACTCCAACATCAATATGATAGTGATCGGTATGGTCAGTGTCAACGATAGAGCAACAACAGATTTCTCGACGAGATTCTTTACGCCGAAGAAGATCACATGATATTAAAGCAGGATAAAATGTAAGAACAGCAAGTAAATTAAAAGACAAGAGGATGGAAGACTGAAATTATGTTTAAAAAAATTTTTTACACAAAAAATACACATTTTTATGAAAGAATAAAACAAAAAGAAATAACCTGTGCACAAAAATCCCGTAAAGCAGGAATTGGTAATATTGTTCCAGCAAGAAATGATAAAATATTATTAATCGAAGCCATCACCACACTCATTCCAGTTTCTTTCATCAACAGGCCTATTTCATTCTTCTGTACATTTTCGGTTATCCTTCGATAATTGTGTAAAAGAAGAAAAACATTGTCAACACCGATTCCGAGTGTTAAAAAAGGAACTATCTGAAAATTCCATCCAATTTGGATTTCGATTGGACTGAAATGCAAAATTTTATATACATATACATATATACTAAACCTGGGTAGTAGCAGCATTGAAACTGATACCAAACCACGTTGCTAATCCAAGACCAGAAACCGAGGCAAAAGTTACAGTGACCACACCAGCAAATGCTAAACCCATATATGAATCAATAGCGAGCATATAGCCGTTTCTTCGCATTTGTGATTGCATCGCATAGATTAGCATTAAGAAATATCTGGAATAGAAATAACTAAACGAAACTAAACGAAAAAACATACAAGAAAAAAACCTTGAAAACAAATATATTTTACACTATAAACTTCTTCGAGAGGCAACCACCGTTTCTGGCCTAAGTGGCCTTTTCATAAAGTGGTAACTTTAGGACAGATATAGTCTCAATAGAATAGAAATCTGGACCTCATCTGTAATTACATGCAGAACGATTTGCCTCGAGCCGGCTGCGTTCGATCGAAGTGACATACAACTGAACTATCGTAACCATCGCACTCATACGTAATAAATATGAGAAATAAATAAATAATTATATGAACCCAATAAAAAATACCCAATAAAAATAATCCGATAATTGAATTGACAGAATTGTTCAAGCATATCGGAAACTGATGTGGCTGCAAGCGGATGAATACGCCGTTTTTCATATGCAGCACCATCTCCATAATTTTCAAAATTCCATTCATGATTATATAATTCTTGAGTATAATTACGTTGCCAAGCTTTTATAATATTTTCAGCCATTTCCAATGACCATTCCGATGATTTCAAATTCGGTTTCAAATAAGTTTTATCATTATCCTGCAATAAAAAAAAAATAAAAATTCAATATAAAAAGCAACATTTGGGTATAATCAGCAAAATTTTTGTGAACAAATTTTCAATAATCATTGTAAAGGGTTAGTTTTTTCCAAAATAGAGCAAAAAATGAAAAAGAAAAACCCTGAAGCGAAGATAAACATCACTGGGAGATGCAACAAGGAAAACAGTCTGCAATGCTTCTGCTAATTCAATATGATCAAATTTTGTCTTAACACCACCGATTATTAAATCTTGTGGCCATAGCATAACACCTTTCGCAAATCCATGACATCCACCTTGCAAAATCTTGCCAAAATGTGGATGAACTGGCAACTCACTCTAAAAGGACAATGGTTCGAAAAAGCGATATCATCTTAAATGTGACGTTATAAAATGCTAATAACTTAAACTTAAAATTAAACTAAAACTTAAACTATATTTTTGCAATATCATTTAAAAAAGATAATAATGAATATAAAGTTCTAAACCTCATTTAATATATGCAACCATTTATCTTCATTATTTTTCATCCAATCAGCAAAAAAATGAGCATATTTTGCACAACGAGTCGCTGAAAAAAAAATATATAAAACATTTTCGAAAGAAAAAATGAAGAACATTAAGCAGAGAGCAGAAGCAATCTAAAGTTCATGAATACTCTTGAAATCAGAGCGGAAATAAAAATCGAAGACCTTTTCATTGATAAAAACATGAGAATATTACTTCAAAGCCCTAGTTATTTTAAAGATATATAAATATAAAGAATAACAAAAATGGTAAAGACAAAAGAAGAAAAATGAAAAGCAAACATAAGCTAACAAACAAACTTTTTATAGAACATGAACATGGTACCATGCAAGAATTACTAATCGAATTTTTTATTAAAACTAATATTTAAGGGAATAAAGGAATGAAGAATCAAGTTCTAAATGTTTACAGCATCTAAAAATAACTAAAACTGTGAACTAATGTTGAAAAAATCACTGAAAAAAATTTCTTTCCCCATAAATAAATTTGTGAATATATATCTTCTTCCACTTTTTCTTCTATTCTCAGAAAATTTTTTTTTTCATTTTCATTGCTCCCCAAATATATTGAAGTCATGCTGATCACTAACACAACATTCCTTATTACCATTAGCTAACCATTAATAATAAATTCTTCATTTCTCTCTTCTTCATCTTCATTATCATACAAATCATTAAAATTTTCGCTTTCCTTATCAACATATAAACGACTTTGATGAATATTTTTCCACTGCCATTCTTTAGCATAAAAAAACTATTATGAAAATGAATTGTATTTCATTAGACATTTACCAATCAATATTTAAAAAATTTTTCTCTGATATTTCTTTCCAGAAAATGAAATAATTCGAAAAAAAATTCTCTTCTTCATACTTTTAAAGATGAACTATAGAAGCGAATTCTCATTGCAGATTTTTTCAAATTTTGGTATGAATAAATATATTTTATTTTCAAAATGAAAAAATAAATAACCTTCTTCTTCATTTTTCGTTTTAACATCTTCAGAACCCACAGCCGCCGTTGTCACAGTTGTTGTTGTTGCGAGAAATATCTTTGTTTCATCGCCAATAACAATTTCTTTCTTCATATATTCTTCTTCGACAGATTTAATGTCGGTTTCATTGAACTGAGAGAGAATCTCTTGTTGCGAATTATCGTTAATTAATCTTTTGTCAGTATCAGAAATGTTCTTATTCATCGATAATAAATCTTCCAAAAAATGAACATTGGTTTCACTTCTCTTCTTCCCTGTAAATTTATTGTATCTATGATATGCAAGAAAATAAAATATAATTAATAAGTTTTTTACTTTAGAGAAATTAAATAAAAGAAAAAAAAGTAACTAGCGTCCACTATGCCTGGTTAGATTTGCTCAGCAGACTGCCAAGAAATCATTCAACGATGATAAGCATGCCGCCACTACCTCTAGGATTTAATTTCTTGACCTTTCTCCACAGCGAGAGAAGAACTCTTCAACGCAATAATTTGAGCCACTACTGACTCGATTATCCTCGTTCATTAAAATTACTAACAAATAATTATTCTTAGAGTGAAAAAAAAAGAAAAAGGAACAAACTTTGAAAAACGAGATGGGACGAGCTCAATTCATTTGCTTTATTTTTTTTTTTTGCTTCTTCAGAACGAACATACATTGGATCAATTTCGACATTAAAATTATTTCGTTCAGCATATTCAAGAAATCTTGGTAAATATTTGCAAAAGGGAAAATGATTCGGAGAATCCTTTGGACAATTTCGATCCAAAGGATCAATACACCAACGGTCCAAATAACCTTTACCAATATCTGCCTGAATTATCAAACTGTTTTAAAGACATGAACGGTTCACGAGAATTATTTCTTTCTTTTGATGAACCTCCGTTTTTTAAAAATTTTCAGAATCTTTGAAAATAAATTTAAAAAATTACTCGAACAAAGCTACTGTGCAAATTATTTAATGAAAAAATTGAATGTAATTCGTCGACAATTGCTTTTGGATTCATATTCATCCATGAGAGCCAATCTTCTGATGGTAACGATGATAGGAAATTTCTTATGAAACCCAATGAACTGAAAAGTGCGCATTATAAAAAATTAATTCAAATAATAATAAATAATATAAAAATGAAAAAAAACCTTAGATCAATCCTTGGGTGGGGTCCAATAGCTTTCGATCCTTCCCAAAAGCAATCGATAGGTGTTATCCATATACATGGTAATATTTTCTCAATAATGCTTAGGTAATTCGAAGCAAATGATCCTTTCTCAACATCAGGTAATGGTGGTTTAAAACAAATATCCGATAATGTCCAATTCCTAAAAAATTGCACAAAAAATCCTTGTTTCTAAAATTTCGAAAAAAATTTCGAAAAAAACTATCGATTAATAACAATTTTATAAAAAAATTAAAATGAAAATGGTAAAAATCTAACACTCCAGCAAATTCAACTTGAAATTGAGCAATTTGTTGCAAAATGGTAACATGTTCCAATAGTGCTTCTTTACTCAAAATATTTTCACCTTCATATCTTGCAGTTTGAATAACAATCTAAAATAAAACCGCTATTTTGGTTTTTTTTTACTATTCCTCTAAAATAAAAAGAAAAAAAAGTAAAAAGTAACAATGAGTGTCTGGAAAAAGCCTCTCCTATTTCTCCTAAATTTTGCCAAAATTATTACCATTCCTTAATAAACATCGTCCTTTAACTTCTAAATTTGTTTTTTAATTTCAGTTTAGAACCCTCTTCAGCTAATCGTTCCACTCTATATTACACAATTACTAATGCCCTTCTAGATATAGCACAATCCCTTTAAATTTTTCTACCTTACTATCTTACTAGCATCCATAATATCTTTGAAAGCATATGGCAAAACTCTAAAGTCAAATACATCCTCTTAACACCATTATTTCCCTTCCTTTTCTCTTTAACGAGTGATTAAATCTAGATATGCATTTTGAAGGAACTATATTGACGAATTAAGCAAATGAGAAATCTAAATTTAAAGATTAATTGCGGTCTATTACGTAACGAAAGAAGACTAGAAGATTTCAAAAGAATATTAATATATTTTAAGAGAGTGTACAAGGATATACACAGAATTTAAAGAGGGTAATGCGCAAGTTTTTGTTAGAAAAAACTAAAAAAAAATATTTATTAGCATATTAGCACGCATGTGTGTGAGGAATCAACTACGCAATAGGGCTATAAATACCGCTTGTTGGAATTCAAGAAATTCATGAAAAGTATAAGTCAGTCCAGAGGATGATATAGAATGAGCTAATAAAACTGTCTTTTTCGCTGACATATGAAATTACAATAGATATTATGCGATCTTTAAGTTAAATAATTAAAGTTAAATAAATAAGATGGTGCTTTTTTCGTCTTATCAAACACTAATAAGTGATTTCTAGAAATTTCTATAAATCTGAGTAGTTCGATGGGAAAAGATGAAATTTCTAGCTCGAACAAGCTAACTGCAAGTACAGGAGCATTCTTTTAGATGAAACTTTTCTAGAATCGCTGCAAGATAAAGCCCAAGAAAATTCATCCCTGATTGCGAAATAAGTAAGAATAAAGGATATCAGAATATTGTGCTCACTTTTCACTAATCTTGCCTATCATATAACTACATATCCTTCAATAAAATAAAGCCTGTGGATTGCACCCACTTCTGAAAAGTATATACCCAAATAAAATCACTGTTCTTGATTATTATTCTTTGTCTACAACAAGAATTGATGCGCACATTTTTGTCTGGCATAGGAAGGGAACGAAACGCCTTGCTGTATTCACCAGCGGAATTATTCAAACCATTGTTGACATCTTTTAGAAGAATAATGAAAAACGAAAAAACAAAAAATGAATAAAAAACAACTTGATATTGACCACCAAGACCATTTTCTCGAAGAGTTTCATTTGGATATTTCGTACTGCTTTCTTGAACCCTCGTTAAAAAAGTTAATTCTTCATCCAGACGACCACCATCTAAAAAGAAAACACACGGAATTTTACAGTTTATAACCATTAATCGAACGGATAGATATAAAAATAAAATCAGCAATTTTTCTTAACTTTTCGTAAAATGTGGAGACAAAGAGTAATAAGCGAATAAAAAACCATAAACAGAAATTATCACCATAATTTCTGACATTTTTGGCTTCCTCAACTTTTAGAAATGATTCTTTTTTTGCCAGAGAGTTAATTAATGACAGAAAAACATGGATTATTGCTCCGAGCAACATATGGATTTTTGCCTTTAAACTTATGATGTTTGACCTATTCAATTTGAAGCAATAATCCACTCGATCGTTCAACAAATTGAAATGTGACATTTATTTCCTCAAATAAATGAAAAAAATAGAGAAAATAAAATAAGCGAAATAAAAACTAACTATCGACCCAAAGTTTAACAATATCAGTTTGTACCCGCACAAATTTAAGCCCATAGCAACAAATACTAAATAGTATTGTAATAAATAATAATACTTTAAATTTGTTTTCCTGCACAAAATTACCCAATTCATAGAGTAATTTTTGTATAAAACTTCGACAATATAATGCGCAATTATTTCCTTTAGCATTTTCCTGTAATTTATAAAAATTTATAAATGTTGTAAAATTCATAAACGCACAAAATAACTAATAAATTTGGAAAAGATGGCTAGAAAAAGAGCAAATTTAATTTTAAATTTAAAACAATATAAATATAAACCAGTTTAATTTGTTGCAAAGTCAAGTCGGCATCACATGCAGATGGCCGTTCACTAAATTCATGCTTCCATTTATTTGAATAGTCTAACGAATTCGATTTTCCGACCAAAAATCGATCAATGAACTAAATTCATATATTAATAATGTAAATCAGATATGACTCAATGAAATTTATGCGAATTAATATTTTTATAATATAATATAATATTTATATCTGCATTTTAACAGTGTCAAAGATACATATGATAATGTCAGAATGTCAGTTATATTTTAAATGAATGACTCATGAATATAGTAATAAAAAAAAGAAGACTCGCTGGCTTAGGCTTAGGCTTAAAGGGATTTTGTCAAGAAATTCAACTTGGCGGAAAAGCCGAATTTTTTCATCGTACAAACAAATAAAATTATTAAATAAAAATAAAATAAAAAAAAGCAAATTATTATTGGTAAATTCATAATTTATGAGAATTAGCACAAAGATAATATAATTTGGAAATCACCACATTCATAAACTATAATATGGCAAATGTTTGGAAAAATAATAATAATAAAAATAATAAATAAATAATAATAATTAAATAATAAAGATAATAAATTAAATTTATTATTATTTAAATTTAAAAACAAATGAAAACAATCACTAAATTTTTTATATTTTATATTTTTTATATTTTTTTATATTTTATATTTTATATATAATTTTTTACATTTCAACGAACATTTTTAAAAGAATTAACCATATAAAAAAAGTTCAATATTCAAAAAAAATCAACCTTAACAAAAGGATTTTTGCTAATTGGTATATCGACATAGCCATTTTCGTTATCGTCGTTATCATTATTATCACCACAGGCGAATGCTAATTCTTGAGTGTTATTAACATTATTGGATCGTGTTGTTGCTCGATTCTTTGATCCCGTTGATTCAATTAGCGTTAACATACTAAAAATTTAATTTTTTGATTTACACTAATAAATATTTGCTTCAATTTTTCCGTATATATCTAATTCCTCCTTCCCGCATCAAATTATATTAATTAAAATAATAATTATAAGGATGAGGACGTTGGTGCTTTTACTGTAAACAAATCGTCGGCAGAAATATACAATGAATATATAATGAAATCCCTGTCGATACTTCCGTGACAATACTGTCGTAACAGTGGTCGCAAAAGGAAATAGAATGTCACACGAGTATTTCTAGTTATTTAGTTCGGAGTAGAAGTAGCTGAGAGCTTCCCAGTCCAGCAGAGGAAACAGAATTTGCCCTTTAAAAACGCGAGTGGAGCTGGCCACAAGCCAGCACAACTATCGCTCATGCGATTCCCTGGCAAAATTTGTCTTAAATTAGCATAGCGAGTCCAACTAACAAGTGCCAACAACAAGTCAGAAAGAAAATTATAAAACTATCAAAAAAATTCCATAAACAATCACAACAAAAAATAATAGCACTGAAAATAAAAATAATAATATTAATATTAAAATATGAAATAATATTATTATCATTATATATATAATTATTGTATATAATATTAATGATAATGATAACGGTTATAATATTAAAATTAAAATAGAAAATAATATTATTATATATAATTATATATGATATCAATGATAACGATAACTGTTAATGATAATGATGATAATAACAATGTCAATAAATAATAATAATACACAACAACAGCCACAAAACAACCAACCAACCACAGGACAAAAAAAATTGATTAAAAGAAGGAGCATCTAAAAGTCAATATTTAACAAAGACAAAAATGAAGTGAAAAGCTAATATGAGCCGATTTTTCTTATCCCTCGGCTGATCATTGATCGGCCACAATGTACAACCGCACTTCGACTAAAGATGAGCCGCACTTTCTATTATCGCTACCGATGCGTTTGCTGGAACTGTTAGGATAGAAACACTGCAGTTGGAAATATAAAAATAGTAATAAAAAGTATAAATAAAAAATTATTTATGGAAAAAAACTACGCGAAAAATGGAATAGAAAGGTTTAATGGATTGTTGGAGCAGAGCGCCGATGGTGGAGTTGCACTCGCTGCACAGTATGCACGGTGTGCACCTGACGGATTTATCTGCACTTCTATCGCCAGATAACTCCTCGGCGAAAAATTTGTTTGATCCGATCGGCCAGCGGAACGACCGTACCTCACCAAGAATGCATCGAAAATAAAAGAAGCGTTAATGAATGCGAAAATAGCGGTGAATAATAGTGAAAACAATAACAGTGGAAAAATTTTATATTTACTTTTACGACATTCACTGATGAATGAATCATGCGAGAATAAATTCATGAATATGAAGGAATGGAGAGGAAAAGGAAGGAAAGGAAAATGGGGAGGAAGAACGACAATATTGAAAAAGAAAAGGATAGATAGGAAAGGAAAAAAGGAAATATGCATGAAATAGATTTACATTTTTACAGAGATAATTTTTTATAAATTTTTTAAATTTTTTTTTTTGTTGCGGAATAATTCTATTGAATTTGATGCATACCCACTAATAATAAATAATAAATTTATACAAATTTTTATAAATTTATATTTCAAATATAAATCGCACTTATAAAGAAAAAGTCGAAAATTAAATGCTGTAAAATGATGCAATCGTTTTCCTTCCAAATGGCGACGATATTATTACCCTTTGACCTTTTCAAATCTTATTGGTTGATTGAAGTTCATGAATAGAAATGGACGTTTATACTGCGAGTGCATGTACATTTATACATGAAATATCACTGATAAAACGTCAAAGTATACGAATATATGCATTCTTTTTGCATATTAATTAATCGCAAAATCGCAAAATACTGGCAAATTCATTGATTAATTGATAAATGCATAAATTGAGAAAACATTCGAAAAGGATCTATTTCAGCAAGGCGATATAAAATTTTATTATTATCAAATCAGTGTTATCTAATCAGCCTTAAGTGTTCTGATTGCGAGTGTTTCCATTATACCACTCTCAGCTCTTTTTGATAAGACAAAGCTCTAATTATTCTATCAGTAAAGGTTTCGTCTTGTGACTGCAACATATTCTGTTATAGGCCTAACATAGGTAATTTTATAATATTGGGATAAATCTAGGAAATGGTATTAAAGAAGAATTGAGTTCATTCATTCGTACCAGGCCAGAAATATTATCTTATTCTTTTTACACGATTCCAACGAGGATAAAATGAAGTTTTATCTTACTAATTTATAAAAGTATGAATTATTTTTATGATAGGAAAACTCTTGAGATGCGTTTTGGTCGCCCAGTTTGGTTTAGAAATCCTCTCCTCTAAATCATTTAAATCCTCTCTTTTCATTAGTTTTGATGGGAATAAAATTCGATTGAACTGGTTATTCTCTCTCAAAGATAAAATTATTTAGCCAAGTTGTGAAGAAATTCTACTCGATTTTGGGGAATTAAAATAGGACTACGGAAGGAAATTTGGAGAATTAAAATAGGACTATGGAAGAGGAAATGTATAGAGTTAGTTGGGAACATCAAAGGATAAACGAGTATAACGTTTATTTTATTTTTGAAGAATATTCACCACTGCTGGTTATCTCACAGTAGACAAATGATCTGCCACCGGGATTTTTTGAGGATTCCAGCAATCATCGACGCTTTGAAATGAAAATTTCAACCATTCCAGTCTTCCTTACAATACATCGAATAAATTCGTTTGAGGCAAAGCGAAATTTTATTAGGATATTTAATTAAAAAATATGCAATAATTTATAATTTTTTCGAGTAATTTTTTAAAAAATGAAATATTTTAAAAAATAATTTATTTTTTTGGTAATTTTTCGATGTTCAAAAGAATTCACTTGAGATTCTTCGATGAACCAAATTTCTTAATTATTCTTTGCGTTCTTCGCTCATTCAATTTCCTCAAATTATTCATTCATTTAAAATTGTTCTAATTTTTTCTATCATTTATCAATTTCTAAGAATCTTTTAAATGAATATGAAAAGATTAGAGGAAAGATTATTTAAATAAGTAAAGCGAATGATAAATTATTTGAATGATAAATGATAAATTAAAGGAATCATATAAAAGCATAATGAAAAAGTAAATTCGCGCTGCATAGAATATATTTTATATATTTTTTTTATATTTTATATAATTTGGCATATATTATTTATTATTTAATATAATTATATATTATTATTATAATATTGTATTATTATATTATATTATTGTTTAATATAATTTTTTTATATTTAATATAATTTTTTATAAAATCTCATAATTTTCTTCCGCTATTCAGATTTATTTTCTTTTAATCTAATAATCACTAAATTTATAAAAAATATTTTTATAAATTAAATATATTCTATAAATGTAAAAATTAAATTTTATAATTTTATTTTTATATAATTGAAAAATTTTAAAATTTTATAAAGCGAATGATAAATTATTTGAATAATAAAATTTATAAAAAGATGATTTTTTTCCATTTGAATAAATAACATCGAAATAACGCCATATGTGAAGAGTTTTTCCATTCATGAAGAAACCTTAAAAAAATGGTGAAAAATGGTGAATGGTCGTTTACTATTGTCATTCATAATTGTTTCGCAAATTTCTGCAAATTTCTTTCATCGAATCTTTAATAAATTCTTTAATTTGTCAAACAATGGGAGCAAACGATTATTTATAAATATGCTTTAAAAAAATTCCATCTATTTCAAGCTGAATAGAACCAAATCTTTCTAAAATTCGGATGGTAATAGCAATTCATTGGTACTTCTATCATCAATTGGTGAAATTTGCCGGGTCCAATAAGCCAGTGAAGTGAGACTAACCATATGTGGTACTAACCATATGAATCTTTAGAAAACTTCTGCATTCTCCTAAGTATTTTAGTCATTTTCTTAAACAACTTTACAAATCAATAATTGGGAAATATAATCGAAAAATAATAAAATTACGAGTAGAAAATGCAATATTAAAAATATATTTAAAAAGCACTTAATTAAATAGATAAATATGTTCGACTCCACTGTTAATTATCATCGTCAATCTCCACTCCATGCCCAGCAATTATTTGAAAATTTATAAATTTTTGGAAATTACTCTTTGCTATTTGCTTATTTTTCCCATAAAAATATACTGGAGTAATCTGTAAAAATGGTATAGCAGATAAATGATAATAATAAATGATAAAATGATAAAATAAGAAATAAAAAAATATAATGAAAATATTTCAAAACGATGAATTTCTTCAGTTTAAATTTTAATTCAATTGTTATTATAAGAGGAATCAACTAATTGAGTTAATAGTATAAAAATTATTTTCGCTTTTATCAGAAAGATTTTGAGTTATATATTTGGAGAATTTAAAAGAGTAATAATAAAAATCAATTTGAGCAAAAACAAACCAAAATTAAATTAAATGCACTTAATAATGAAAATATAACAATGAAAAATCTGTTAAACTTGCAATTTTTATTTGCATGAAATGAAATTATTCTCCGATGTAAAAATCTCAAATAAAGATATGACAAGCAAATTGCTAGTAGCACGTTTAGGATTAATTATTGAGCACCGAGCACCGAGAAATAGGAACATATTTTTGAAACCTTTTCTTGCTTATATTGTCCAAAAATTTTATTAAAACGTTGCACTCGAATCGAATCAAAAAATCTGCCGATAAATGAAGGGATTTTATTTTGATAAATTTTCATAAAATTCATAAAATTTTCAAAATTTTTCAATAAATTTTTCAATAAATTTTTTAAAAATCATTATGAAAGCGAGCAAATAATCGAATGAAAAAATTTAATAAAAAAAATTTAAAAAATTTAAAATTTAATAATTGCGTAATGCAAAAGGAAATTTGCATGTGCAATAATATATAGGTTTAGAAAATTTTCTTCGAATATTTTTAATCAACCCACTCTCATTTAAAAAAAATTTCTCATTCGT